ATATGTTTTTACATTATAATATATATATTTTTTAATATTCTGATTTTTCAGGGGGTGCTGTAGCACCCTCAGCACCCCTACCTTCCGTCCGTGGCTATGTATGCATAATACTTATTGAATGCACATTTGGTGTCCATCTGATTAGTTAAACTGTGATATTTCCACACATCATCTGATCTAGGAAGGAATTTTCCGAATGACAGTCAAGTGACAAACAGCTGGTGTGATAGCCCAAGTGCTTTAAAAAATATGTTCACGAGGAATGTGAAGAATATTTTGGTGTCTCATTCGTTACACTGGTGTAGACAGTTGTGCCTGGATCCACATTGGATCTAATATCCCTAGCAAATTGATGTTGATCAGCTGCTTGATTTAGAACAGGGCCTCATTAGATTTAACAGAGAAAGCATTATTAACATTTACATTTTAGTCATTTAGCAGACGCTCTTATCCAGAGCGACTTACAGTTAGTGAATACATATTTTTTTTTATACTGGCCCCCCGTGGGAATCAAACCCACAACCCTGGCGTTGCAAACACCATGCTCTATCAACTGAGCTACATCCCTGCCGGCTATTCCCTCCCCTACCCTGGACGACGCTGGGCCAATTGTGCGCCGCCCATGAGTCTCCAGGTCGCGGCCGGCTGCGACAGAGCCTGGATTCTAACCAGGATCTCTAGTGGCACAGTTAGCACTGCGATGCAGTGCCTTAGACCACTGCGCCACTCAGGAGTACAATTACAAGGAAATTAGTTCATGTTTTCATGCCTTGGATTGGACACAGAGTCTACTGTGCACAATCGTGTAGGATAGACTATTGCGCAACACCCAATGCTATTCCTATTAATTATTCTGGATATAATGACAACAAATTAGACTACTGGATTAGGCATACCTTCTTACATTTGCTGCTTGAGAAGTCATTGTAATTATTGTAGCCAATTTATAAGTCTCCCACTCCCTTATAATTATCCGTGATTACATTTTTGATATGTTTTTGTGAGAGATGTCGATACTTTCGTTTGTTTCCCGCCGCTTCAGTTGAAGGGTGTTGCGCTACTCTGTTGAGGTAAAACCATGTACGGTTATTATGAGGAAGACAACATCTGTTGGCTTCAATTTGGCTTTCCATACAAATCCTTCCATTAAAAAACGAACCTGTTTTTTGTTCACTTTCTCATTATAAAAACAGCGATGGTGAGATTCAAATGGTGAGATTAATACTTTAAATATGTGTCCCTGCGTCGGCCACGTAGGCAACAGGAAAATCGCCATGTATGCATCCAATCTATTTAGTCAGGCAATGTCCACATTATTGTCACATATTTTAGAATGTAATGGCTAAAATGTAAATGTAAATGTAATAATAATTTTAATATCAATGCATTGGCAAGGCCTACATTTGTATTATTATTAATGTGGTAATGGCCTACTTTCTTGAAACTTTTTGCATGCTTTGGGGGGGGGGGGGGGGGGGGGGGTCTATATTTAAGCAATAAGGCCCAAGAGGGTGTGGTATATGGCCAACTTACCATGGCTAAGGGCTGTTCTTATGCACAGGCATGCATGCCTGGATACAGCCCTTAGCTGTGGTATATTGGCCATATACCACAAACCCCCGAGGTGCCTTATTGCTATTTTAAACTGGTTACCAACGTAATTAAAGCAGTAAAAATACATGTTTTGTCATACCCGTGGTATAGGGTCTGATATACCATGGCTGTCAGCCAATCAGCATTCAGGGCTCGATCCACCCAGTTTATAATAGGCCCTATATGTACAATTATATAAATGATACAATTGTATAACATTGAGGTCCTTGAAAATTACAATGAAGTGCTTGAAGAAGTCCCTGAAAGTCCTTGAATTTGACTTGCCAATGTCTTTATGAACCCTGCTTAAAGGATGTATAGTCATAGGCCTCTGTTGTTGTATAGGTGGAGTTATGGGCCAATTTGCATGCATTCACTTTTATTCCCCTAAGCACAAATGTGGAGCAGCATGAAAATCGTTTTTATTTTTGCTTCAAACCATTTTGAAATGTTGATCCCAATGTCACACATTGGCCCCAATATTTATAGACAGACCCATGAGCACAAATCTGTCTCTCTCTTTGTTAAACCGGCAAACAAAAAAGAGGCCAGCCACATTGTCATGTTAGAACTTGAAAGTAAAACTACAAAACGTTGTTTCCTTAATTTGAGTGGTTTAGTATGTGCATTAATCTTTCCTGTGGCAGTCACACTTGCAACTACTTCAGTGCACTTCCTGTACATGTTTGGGCTGACTTCCTGTCAGTACATACTATAGAGTCTAGAGCTGCAGCCTGCCACCGCAGCAAAGAGCTATGTAGTCCGCAGCCTTGACAACACTCCCTGCCAGAGAGGGTACGTGACTGGAGCTTCATATTCATCTCATGCTTCTACACCTTCTGTCATTTGACAGTGGAACAGGGTCGTGCTGTGGTCCTCCACGGCCCACAGTCGTGCCCATCACAGAGATGTTGTGTAAATAATGATTTATGGGAGATCATCTGAGGGTTTGCGTAGGTGTGTGGATGTTTGTGTGAATTTGCAGCACTTTTAAGCATATTTACCAAGAAATGAATGGTGAAAATCAAAGCCGTTTTCAGATGATTTTGTGACCAAGTAAACCAATCAACCACTGACTTTCTGTAGAGCAGTGATAAACCACACCATTGACCAAAATAACATGAAATAACATCTGTAATCCCAGACCAGAGCACAGAAAATGTGATGTGACTATAAAATAAACAAAATGGCCTCGAGTGTCATTGTTCATTTCCTGAGACTAAACAAACAACCAAACAATTGATGGGTTGAAAAGCTTTTGTGCTCTCAGAGGACATTTAGAATAAAGTAAAATGTATTTTAACTCCCAGGGAATCACTCTCCATTTAAAAATGAACATGACAGCACTTTTCTGCATTGTCATTTGGGTGGGTGGGGGCAATGACTCATTTGGCAAATACAACTAAATGTCGATGACACAGGTTTCCGCATAATCACGGTCTCATTGCGATACACAGAAGATCTGAATCAAAATGGAGGCTATCAACTGCCTGAGACTCTACTTCACTAATCCTACCCAATTGTGACTGATGGAACATTCACACGTACAGTGGGGAGAACAAGCATTTGATACACTGCCGATTTTGCAGGTTTTCCTACATACAAAGCATGTAGAGGTCTGTAATTGTTATCATAGGTACACTTCAACTGTGAGAGACGGAATCTAAAACAAAAATCCAGAAAACCACATTGTATGATTTTTAAGTAATTAATTTGCATTTTATTGCATGACATAAGTATTTGATACATCAGAAAAGCAGAACTTAATATTTGGTACAGAAACCTTTGTTTGCAATTACAGAGATCATACGTTTCCTGTAGGTCTTGACCAGGTTTGCACACACTGCAGCAGGGATTTTGGCCCACTCCTCCATACAGACCTTCTCCAGATCCTTCCTTCAGGTTTCGGGGCTGTCGCTGGGCAATACGGACTTTCAGCTCCCGCCAAAGATTTTCTATTGGGTTCAAGTCTGGAGACTGGCTAGGCCACTCCAGGACCTTGAGATGCTTCTTACGGAGCCACTCCTTAGTTGCCCTGGCTGTGTGTTTCGGGTCGTTGTCATGCTGGAAGACCCAGCCACGACCCATCTTCAAAGCTCTTACTGAGGGAAGGAGGTTGTTGGCCAAGATCTCGCGATACATGGCCCCATCCATCCTCCCCTCAATACGGTGCAGTCGTCCTGTCCCCTTTGCAGAAAAGCATCCCCAAAGAATTATGTTTCCACCTCCATGCTTCACGGTTGGGATGGTGTTCTTGGGGTTGTACTCATCCTTCTTCTTCCTCCAAACACGGCGAGTGGAGTTTAGACCAAAAAGCTCTATTTTTGTCTCATCAGACCACATGACCTTCTCCCATTCCTCCTCTGGATCATCCAGATGGTCATTGGCAAACTTCAGACGGGCCTGGACATGCGCTGGCTTGAGCAGGGGGACCTTGCGTACGCTGCAGGATTTTAATCCATGACGGCGTAGTGTGTTACTAATGGTTTTCTTTGAGACTGTGGTCCCAGCTCTCTTCAGGTCATTGACCAGGTCCTGCCGTGTAGTTCTGGGCTGATCCCTCACCTTCCTCATGATCATTGATGCCCCACGAGGTGAGATCTTGCATGGAGCCCCAGACCGAGGGTGATTGACCGTCATCTTGAACTTCTTCCATTTTCTAATAATTGCGGCAACAGTTGTTGCCTTCTCACCAAGCTGCTTGCCTATTGTCCTGTAGCCCATCCCAGCCTTGTGCAGGTCTACAATTTTATCCCTGATGTCCTTACACAGCTCTCTGGTCTTGGCCATTGTGGAGAGGTTGGAGTCTGTTTGATTGAGTGTGTGGACAGGTGTCTTTTATACAGGTAACAAGTTCAAACAGGTGCAGTTAATACAGGTAATGAGTGGAGAACAGGAGGGCTTCTTAAATAAAAACTAACAGTCTGTGAGAGACGGAATTCTTACTGGTTGGTAGGTGATCAAATACTTATGTCATGCAATAAAATGCAAATGAATTACTTAAAAATCATACAATGTGATTTTCTGGATTTTTGTTTTAGATTCCGTCTCTCACAGTTGAAGTGTACCTATGATAAAAAATTACAGACCTCTACATGCTTTGTATGTAGGAAAACCTGCAAAATCGGCAGTGTATCAAATACTTGTTCTCCCCACTGTATTCACAAACTAGGAGAGAGGTACTGTCCTGACCCATTTACAGAGGAGCCCAATGTTCCCTGTGTAACACACAGCTGCATGGGTAGCACCTGTCAGAGCCTCCACAGAACAACCCTCAACCTTTCAACGACAGGAAGCCCTTTGGGTGGCTTTCTCTCCACTGAGGTGTGTGTACGTGCATGCGTGTGTGAATGTGTGTGTGTGTGTGTGTGTGTGTGTGTGTGTGTGTGTGTGTGTGCATGTTTTGAAGGTACGGCATGAGTAAGTGATGAGATCTTCACATACAAAACTCCTGGCCTGAAAACCTCACTCAACATCCAATTGTTTCTTATTTTTTCTCCAAAAGTAGCGTTATATTTCTAGTTGCTGTTTTTGATAAGATTCATATTTGATGAAGACTAGGTCTCTTAGTCATGGATAAAGCTGCTCTGGCTGCAGACCAGTGAAATCGCTAACACCCTGTTGAAGAGCAGTATATTGGGCAAGTTTAACGAGGTAGGTCTTAAACCTGATATGCTATATAATGCACCTATTGGCGTGGTCTCCCTTTGAGAGCGCAATTTGAATCAGGATGCACAACAATGTACACAATATTGTTTTACAGCAAATGAGCAGTCACAAATGTTTAGGCTATAGTCAATATTGAGAAGATGTTTAATGTACTGAAAAAATGACATTTAGCTGAAAAGGCAATACAAAATAAAAGGTGGTAACAGGTAATTTAAGTGGAAATTGATTAAAATTCAAATTTGGTAATTGCAATTATTGTGGTTATTATGCTTTTATTACAGATTGACAAACAATTGTTTAAGGTTTTTGTTTGTCAGGTAGGAATCTGGTGACCAAGAAGGACCTTGTGATTTAGTATCCATCTGTATAGCACATAATTACTTCCATAGAGTATCTAATATGCATATGGAAAATTGAATGATTTCACGAAAGCAGCAACGCTCAAGAGGGCTACTATTTTCTGAGCATTTTGACAGATGGAAGGACATCTTGTTGATGTACTGCATTAATACAGGTTAGACATACCACTAAAAGGTACCCTAAAGAGCAGAGTGTTTAGTGTCTACTTCTGTGTAACCCTTCTCCAACCAGTATAATGACCTTCGGGGTGGATCACACCACACACAGCATTTCATGTGAAAGAGACATCAATGCCTCAACAAATGCAGCACAACATAATGATAATAAAGCCAGCCAACCAACCAAAGCCAGCACACTGGGTCTTGAGGAGGGTATCCCCTCAGCAGCTGAATATGATTAAGATATGAAACCAAGAGGGCATCCACTCAATGGAAAATATTGACTGTTTAGATAACTTTCTCTGAGAGCCTGTCAGACAGAGGCAGGAGAGATGTCACCCAAAAAACGACCCCTCTCGTCCCCCTCCATCCCGTCCCAGAGAGTACCAGTGTAGGGGCGGACTGTCGCTAACGGGGTCAGGCTTTTCCGGACCCGTCAGATTTTCTCACAGATTTGTGCCCTTGGGACAGGCCAACTAGCCCACTGACCCTGTTACATGAGCCGACCAATGGGATTGGAGCATGGAGCGGGCCTGAGAACACAGGTTCCTACTGTACTGCTGAGGGGTAGAGCGCGCCATCTGAGAGCGTGCCACACATGGTTTAACACTGGATTAGTTTGATTTGAAATATAATCACATTTTCTCTCACAAAATCTGGACTATGGTTAATTCCCAAATGAAGTCAAATAATTATAACACGAAATGTAGGCAACTTTGTGAAACATCTAGTAATTTGGTGTCTCAACAAAAAAGGTCACATTTAATTATATCAAAAGCAATTCTCTTCATTGTATCTGTCACCGATTTAAGTCTGTCATATCACAGCAAGCACACTCTATGGATCAGTTCTCAGTCCCATGCAGATCCTCATCACACTACTATGGGACAAAGCATATGTACAGTTTAATGAAGGCGTACATGCCAATGTGTTGTATTTTAATTTGCGGTGGGGGATTTTTGACATCCTGCTAAACTCTGCTGGTTGTGGTATATTGATGTGAAGCTACACAGAAACAATAATGTAGGTTTACATCCTGACACATTTCATATTTTTGTCTGGCCAAGATTATTACTTTATTTTCTCACTTCAAAGATTTAGTCATATCAGGACATCCTGAGTTATTTTTCCAGCGCTGGGGACTCAAGGGATATTAAATGTTTACAGGATGTTAACATAAAAGACATGTTCTGGGCAAAAAGTTCTGCTTATTAATGTTAATTCATTTGTTTATGTACACTGTTCATTTGATTGATTTGAGTTTACATTTCCAAGGGATCTGAGGTTGAACAGCTCTTCACTTTTTAAGAGGGTAACATAATATAAAATTATTATAAAATTATTATAAAATCTAGTTCACCAACTCTCTTGGGAACCAAGTCTAAGTATGAGACACTAAGCAACTATTTTGTTTCACTCAAGTACTCATTTTTAAAATCATACTTTGTCAATCAATCGCTTCTATTATGTAGTGATGTAAACTGATGTAAACTCTACTATGTTTCAGGTAAAATGGGATGCAACTGTAGTTCAGATTATGATGATGACTGGGTAGAGAACCTAGACGAAGTGTGTGACAACTGCAACTGCCCGATTTCCCCCCAGTCAGCTAACCCGGTGAGTGTGTGTGAGAGAGTGTGTGTGTGTGTGTGTGTGTGTGTGTGTGTGTGTGTGTGTGTGTGTGTGTAGACAGTGGCATAGCGTCTGGACGTGGCTGGGGAAGTAGTGTGGAATGCGAGGAAGAGGGTGTGATATTTTTACATGGTCTCACAAAAAAAATACACTAACATCTCCAATATGCATTTAATTGACATATCAATGAATATAACTTATGCAACCATGGTCTACATAAAAGTGTGTTGTGCAAGTCAATGCTTGGGAATTGTTGCCTGACGACTCACACTGAATTATTTAGCTGCTCTATCGTTCATTACATACTTCAGTCTGAATCTGCCATCATTGAAAGTTGTTTGTGGTAATATCGTTTGCGATGAAAACAAAGTCATCAGCAATTAGATCGTCTCTAACCAATCAGAGTATCAAAGCCAATTACGTACTTCAAAAACACTGCTTCACCCACGTGTGTTCTGGCTCTGGCCCAACCGATTGGTTTCTGGGACCAATCAGACGGTCCGAATGTGTTCGCATTCTAGACGGATCGGGAAAGGAGTCAAATCCAGACTCATTGCGGAGAAGAAACAAACGTTCGTGGGCGTGGCGTTTGGCCGGACCAATGAGGGAGTTCTATTAATGCGGGTTAGCATTGATTGCATTTGTTTTGGAACCTAGTGATGGGGGGGGGTACATATCACAATTTTGTTTTTGGATGATATTATATCGATATTTGACTCAGAGTATCGTTTTTTTGCTACTGTAGGTAGTGTTAGCTAGCGCTAGTTGGCTGTACCTGCGCCAAAAAAGTATTTTTCATCCTATAGCTTGTTCTCCATCTTCTTTTTAAATAGTGAATTAACATGTTTTCAGCACTTTTATTTCCCTGACTGATCAAGACTCATTTTTACATTTTAGTCATTTAGCAGCCGCTTTTAGCCAGAGCGACTTACAGGAGCAATTAGGGTTGAGTGCCTTGCTCAAGGACATTGACAGATTTTTCACCTAGTTAGCTCGGAAATTCGAACCAGCGTCCTTTTGGTTACTGGCCCAACACCCTTAACCGCTAGGCTACCTGCCGCATGCTCTCTCTTGTCTCTCTGCAGCAGACATATACAGTGTCTTCTGAAAGTATTCACACCCCTTGAATTTTTCCCAAAACAATTGTGTTACAAAGTAGGATTTAAACAGATTTTTGTCAACGATTTACACAAAATACTCTGTAATGTCAAAGTGAAAGAAAAATTAGAACATATGTAAAATTAAAAATAATAAAGGAAAAATAAAACACTAATATAATCTTGATTACATAAGTATTCAACCCCCTGAATAAATAAGTTAGAATAACCTTTGGCAGCAATTACAGCTGTGAGTCTTTCTGGGTAAGTCTCTAAGAGCTTTGCACACCTGGAATGTATAATACCTGGAATGTACAATACAAAAAATTATTCAAGCTCTGTCAAGTTGCTAAACAGCCATTTTCAAGTCTTGCCATAGATTTTCAAGCTGATTTAAGTCAAAACTGTAACTAGGCCACTCAGGAATATTCAATGTCGTCTTGATAAGCAACTAGTGCGTATTTGGCCTTTTGTTTTAGGTTATTGTCCTGCTGAAAGGTGAATTTGTCTCCCAGTGTCTGAAACAGGTTTTCCTCTAGGATTTTGCCTGTGCTTAGCTCTATTCAGTTTCTTTTCATCCTAAAAAAAACTCCCTAGTCCTTGCCGATGACAAACCTCCCCATATCATGATGCAGCCACCATCATGCTTGAAAATATGAAGAGTGGTACTCAGTGATTTGGATTTACTCCAAACATAACGCTTTACACATTCTTTGCAGTTTTACTTTAGTGACTTATTGCAAACAGGATGCATATTTTGGAATATTCTGTACATTTAGGCTAGTATTGAGTTAGGAAGGACGCCTGTATCTTTGCAGTGACTGGGTGTATTGATACACCATCCAAAGTGTAATTAATAACTTCACCATGCTCAAAGGGTTATTCAATGTCTGCTTTTAAAATTCTTACCCATCTACAGTACCAATAGGTGCCCTTCTTTGTGAGGCATTGGAAAACCTCCCTGGTCTTTGTGGTTGAATCTGTGTTTGAAATTCACTGCTCGACTGAGGGACCTTACAGATAATTGTATGTATGGGGTACAGAAATAAGGTAGTCATTCAAAAGGTATTGTACACAGAGTGAGTCCATGCAACTTTTTATGTGACTTGTTAAGCAAATTATTACTCCTGAACTTATTTAGGCTTGCCATAACAAAGGGGTGTAATACTTTTTGACTCAATACATTTCAGCTTTTCATTTTTAATTAATTTGTAAACATTTCTCCAAACATAATTCCACTTTGACATTGTGGGGTATTGTGTGTAGATCAGTGACACAAAATCTCAATTTAATCCATTTTAAATTCAGGCTGTAACACAACAAAATGTGGAAAAAGTCAAGGGGTGTGAATACTTTCTGAAGGCACTGTAGTGAGCAATATGTTTGGAACATAAAATCGCAATAAAATCGCAGTATCGAATCGCAATACATATAGAATCATGAGAATCGCAATACATATTGTAATGGCACCTAAGTATCATGATAATATCGTATCGTGAGGTCCCTGGCAATTCCCAGCCCTACTGGAACCGGGCTGCCTCACTGGCGCAAACCAGGTGCCCCGTTTTGGCTGACGGCGAAGTCGGCTTAAAATAAAAGTGATGTATGCATACGTTATTATTTTTCATACCCCTCGTGGGAATCGAACCCACAACCCTGGCGTTGCAAACGCCATGCTCTACCAACTGAGCTACATCCCTTCCGGCCATTCCCTCCCCTACCCTGGGCCAATTGTGCGCCGCCCCATGGTCTCCCGGTCGCGGCCGGCTACGACAGAGCCTGGATTCGAACCAGGATCTCTACTGGCACAGCTAGCCTTAGACCACTGTGCCACTCGGGAGGCCTGAACGATGCATCATGCTGCCTTGTTGACAACATGACCGAGCGGCGCAGATTACTGTTAGATTTGAGAAGGGCACTCCTCCCTCATCGCTTTTGCCCATTCACGTCACGGGCCATAGCCCCGGTGCTCATAATCAAACTCTCTCAATGAGTCTGGGTAGCTAGGCAATGGGAATTGGCAATTTACATAATTTTGGGGGGGGGAAGTTGGCTTTTGTGTGTGCAATTAATTGGGACTGTAAACATTCACTAAATGTTCTGTTTCACTTCCTTCCTCTGAATTACTGGAGATATTATAGTAGATTTGAAATAGAGGAGAATAGCACATGTGAATGCCATGCTGTTGATGGCCAGTTTGTCAGCACAAAATAAACATTAAGTAAATCCTAGATTTCGTTCCACACTTCAAGGAATTCATGGTTTTTACCTTAAGTCAAATGTCCCATCATGATAGTGTAAACCCCCCAGACTTTCCATAGTTTGTACACTGAATGAGAATCTTTGAATTCACCATTGGAAACACAGTTTATTTTACTGACCTGTACCCTGCTTTGGTCTCATCAGTACACAGATCAACTGATCCCCTACCCCTCTCATCTCACACCTCCCTCTTCCCCTCTACCAGGTATGTTCTTATACATTAATATGCAGGTAAATATGCGCCTTCTTCTGGTGGATCAAATCTAATCATTATTGTTTATGTTTTCCTCACCCATGCTGGTTATGGTTGTACAGATAGCCTGGTGGTTGCCATATACAGCTATGAACCCAACCACAACGATGACCTGGGATTTGAGAAGGGAGACAAGCTGAAAATCCTCAATAAGTAAGAATAGGGATGTGTGATGCTATTTACTTTTTAGAGGATGTGATATATTTGTGTAGTTGTGCAAAAGTGTGTAGTTGTTTGATGGAGCATGACACATTACCAGTTATTGAAAAGTATGAGATAGTGAGTAAGTGTTGCTGTTATGTCTGCTGTCCAGGGATGACCCAGAGTGGTTCATGGCAGAGTCGCTCATCACAGGCCAGAAGGGCTTCATCCCATACAACTTTGTGGCCCCCCTGAACTCAATGGAGATGGAGACGTAAGTCAATTCAGTTGAATTCAATTCAAACTGTAATTCATTTCACTTTAAGTCATGCAGGAAGCACACACATACATTAACAAACACCATCTCCCCATACTCAACACCCCCCAAGTAAGGGAAAGGGATGTGGTTATGTTTGAAGCTCTATACCTGTTTTTTTTGTGCTTCAGATGGTTTTTCAAGAACCTCTCCAGAAACGATGCTATGAGGCTCCTGCTAGCTCCGGGGAATACACAGGGCTCCTTCATGGTCAGAGAGAGTGAGACCACCAAAGGCTCCTTCTCCTTATCTGTCAGGGACTTGGATCCTGACACGGGAGACATGGTCAAGCACTACAGAATCCGGAACTTGGATACTGGTGGTTTCTACATCACCGCAAAGATATCCTTCAACTCCCTGAAAGAGCTGGTCCAGCATCACTCACGTACGTGCTATGACTCACATCCTGTCTGAACTCCTGGAGCTATGCCTCCAGTCAGAACACAATACATCAGCCAAACAATACATATAGCATTGGTACCAAAGACCATTATCATACCATCCATAGTGCACATACACCTTAGCACATATAAATCTTTCTCAAAATGTGAACTGTATAACTTGACGTTATTCAACCTTTGACCCTGCCTGTGTTGTGTGTGTCTGCAGGTGAGGCGGACGGTCTGTGCACCCGGCTGATGAAGCCGTGCCAGTCCCGCGTGCCCCAGAAACCCTGGTGGCAGGACGAATGGGAGATCCCCCGAGAGTCCCTCAAAATGGAGCGCAGGCTCGGGGCCGGGCAGTTTGGAGAAGTTTGGATGGGTGAGTGCCTTCAGAAAGTATTCATACCCCTTGACTTATTCCACATTTTGTTGTGTTACAGCCTGAATTCCAAATGGATTAAATAGATGTGTTTTCTCACCCATCTACACACAATACCCCATAATGACAAAGTGAAAACATGTTTTAAGAAATGTTAGCTAATGTTGAAAAAGTCAAGGGGTGTGAATACTTTCTGAAGGCACTGTACAACCACAGTAGTTGATATTGTCAGATTACCAATGCGTGTGTTGGTTTGCATAGATGCACTAGATATAAAGCAACCAGTTGCTCAATTGGTCCTGTCTCTCTCTGTGTCTGCCAGAACAGCTTTAGTTTAGGCTTTAGTTCTGCATTGTGTGTAATTTCCTAAATACCACCATCACTGCAGTGCTTGTTTGAGCTGGTAGGGCCCCTTTGGGATTGATGTCAGGTATTAGCTGCATTACGCAAGAGAGCCAGCGAGCTAGGCTGAAGTTCTAGTCACACACCAGAGGCTCTCTCTGAAGCACTTCACATGTCTATATTAGTTCATATTACAATATTTGCTATCGCCTCCAACTGTGACCCTAAAATCAACCATTAAAAAAGAACCTCCAGTGTTTTGAAGGTGAGAATATCTGATGATGTAATCTGATTTCTTCACACTTGTTTTCCAGTGGAGGGGGAGATTTCCCTATTGTCCATCTCCATGTGTGTGAACACAATGCAACATTAAAAACTAGCCTGCTATGGGACTTTGTATTTACAAATTCCTCCTGCATGCGATCTTGGCAACATACAGTATTTGTTTCTCCCAGCGAATGAATACACCAACATCATTGGGGTGATTGTTGTTTGACAACAAAAAAGTATCCATGCATGTCAGATTTTTTTAAAAACGAACCACCATTCCTTTTACCGAAATTATTTCAGTTATAGATAACAGTAGGGAAGAATGCTTTCAATAATAAAGTTAATTCTCACCATTACAGCATAGGCTATAACTCGGTTAATTGTGACCTATAGTAAACTTGAGTGTCCTCAAATGACTCCATCATACACATTGTATACTACACTACTGAATAATATCACTGTGATATTACTGTAATAAACTGTATATTTACTGTATCACCAATGGCCTTCCTCTATGCTGCAGGTCTGTACAACAACCACAGGCGGGTGGCCATTAAGAACCTGAAGGTGGGCACCATGTCCATGGCTGCCTTCCTGGCCGAGGCCAACCTGATGAAGGAGCTGCAGCACCCACGCCTGGTCCGCCTCTTCGCCGTGGTTACGCAGGAGCCCATCTACATCATCACAGAGTTCATGGAGAACGGTGGGTGTCACTGTCTAGGATTACACTGTTATTAGGCTAATGGTCAATGTTCGTCTTTCAGGGTAAGACCAACTCCCTATACAAAAGGTCAATAACCCTGATCCTATTCGATTCAGTTGTTCTTCTATTCTATTGTACTCTATTCCATGAGAGCTGCTCAGCAAGCCTATGGCCAATGTCTGTGCCTGTTTACATAGATGACTCTCAATCCCGGCGCTGAAAGAGTGAACAGCTAAAACAGAGTCATCCAGGGAGATTCTAGAGAAACACCTGGAGCAGACAAAGTGTTTTCAGCCAGGATATCGTCATCGGCTTTCATGATCGAACATGTTAAACTGTTATTGGTTTGCATGCTGATAAGAGTGAGAGTAACAAAAGAGTGGCTTGGGTGTTTACCAGAATGTCTTTCATGAGTAAGAGTCTTTCACAGGCATACTGCAGTCCACTGACAATGTTAAATGATCCAAAAAGCATTTTGTTATAGATGCAAAAGATGAATACCCCTAGTTATGGCTTAACGGCTATTTACTGAAAGCCTCATTCTAAATGGAGCATGTGATCTTCAGAAACGCAGTACAAGTTTAACCTTGTTTTTCCATATATCTCCTTCTTTAGAGTGGACAATCTTCTTAGAGGCTATTTTCAACCTATTTTGGTGACCCTGCTGCACTTTCTAAAAAAAAACTTAAATAATCACATCAGCAAACCTGAACTTTAGCTCTCTTTTCCTGTACCGGCTGGTGCCTCTAATGTCAACACACCAAAGGGAAGTCCGTTCTGACTGGAAAAGAGAGACGTCAAATAGGGGAGTGGTGATTCACCATCTCATTGTTCAGTGATGGGACCTGTGTCAACCCCCATGGGCACGTGGCTCCATTCCAGTGTCAGCACAGACAGACCGCAACACAGCCCCCCCTTCAGCCCCCCTATTCCCCCAGTCAGACTAGGCTATTCAGCCACTGTCCAGTGACTACTCTCTTTCTCTCTTCACACAAGAAAGAGAGAGGCTGTCTGTAAAAGGGTAGCAAAGCAAAGCCAGACCAATAAAAATGTCACCATGGTAACAGGTGCACTGCACTGCACACAGACTAGCTGACATTGAAAACATAAGTCTTAATACCAGTGGCGTAGCCAGAAATTTGTTAGTGGGTGGACCTGCAAAAATGTTGGTGGGCAACTAACTTCCTGTAATTTTACAAATTTTGCCATGGGGCAAAGAGAAAAATGTGCAGTTTTATAGCTAATCTCATGCTATTCTACACATTTTGCCATGAGGCTGAGAGACAATTGTACATTTTCTAAGCTAATTAAAGCTAAAATATAGGTGTGTTTACTGATAAAGGCACTGGATTGTGAGCTCTCTTGTTTGCTAAATGAAGAAATTAAATAAGCAGTGGCATGGTGCATATAGCTATAGAAGCACAGTGACATATCCTCAATGCCGTCATATTTGTGGCTTATTTGGGGTGTGGCTTTCAGTTAGTTCTGTTTGGCAACCCATCCCATGAGAGTGAATGTCATTCCAGGTAATCTGTTCTGTTCAATAATTTATATAAAGACTAGATGACTGATATAGGGCACTGTGTTGAAGCCACCATGCCTCCATCTTGGCACTCCCCCACTATTGTAAAATACATTTTGGAAGCTATAGAAATGCATTTATTAATGTCTACAATCGTTTGCCACATTTATTATATTACAGACACCTTAATGCATACTTTTAAATTATATTATGTGAGGTAAACATAAACCAAAATGTTTAAAAAAAGATTAAACATTTTCCTTAAAGTATAATTTCTTATTAGATTACTAATGTTACTGTCCCAAATACAACAACAAAAATACTTAAATACATGTAATTTTGTCCTTAAAACATTTAATTGAAATACTGTAGAATTCCATTCATTCCTATGGAGGATTTCTCCTACTGGGGAGTGCCAATTTGGCCAAATGGTGGCTTCAAAGCCTCTCAATGGCCAATACATAGCATCAGCAATCCACATTGTCTTCCATCAGATAGCGCGTTGATTCCGCCTGCATTGATCTGTCACATATCTTGCAAAGGCTAATGGGATAGATGAAAAGTAGTCCGGCTACAATGGGCTGCCATAACATTAGAAAATATTACCTAGGTGACATAGTCTGCTGAACCCCATTTCTGCCTCAAAACTGTCTGAATTAATCTAAGCTAAAACAATAAATATGTCAATAATGTTAATGTTTTTTTTGGTGAGGAAGTATTAGTCGCCCCTTTTTTTTGGTGAGGAAGTGTTAGTCGCCCCTTTTTAAATCTAGCTAAGGATTATTGTGTTTCAATGACCAGTATTTCTGAAGTTGGGCACGAAAGCTAGCATAAATTTGTCCAACATGAATGTTAGCTTGCTAGCTTGCTGAGCCAGTCACTGAAATCATCTTTGGCTGAAATGATGCTGCTAACCAACCAGCTACCTACTTAGTGCTCCACACGCAAGGTTGTATCTTCCAACAAAAGCTAGCTAGCAAGCTACTGTAGCTAGTAGTGCTAATGCTTACATTATTATGCATTTTTATGAAGCAGCTGTTCTTCTGCCATGAGTCATTGCAGTAGCCTCCCGAGTCAGCTGCTGTGTTCAGCTGACCCAACGATACGATCGTGAAGAAACATGCTGATCTATCTACGGACTGATTTCTGATTACATTCAGTTCCTCTTAATTGTGGGGCTGCATGTCTACATTTTCAGGGCATTTTAAACAGGCTAAGCAAGCTTTTTATGTCAGTGAAGGAAGAGCTAGCAAACTTGCTAGCTATGTCAGTAAGCTAGCTAGCTACAGTGGGGGAAAAAAGTATTTAGTCAGCCACCAATTGTGCAAGTTCTCCCACTTAAAAATATGAGAGAGGCCTGTAATTTTCATCATAGGTACACGTCAACTATGACAGACAAAATTAGAAAAAAAATCCAGAAAATCACATTGTAGGATTTTTAATGAATTTATTTGCAAATTATGGTGGAAAATAAGTATTTGGTCAATAACAAACAAGCAAGGTTTCTGGCTCTCACAGACCTGTAACTTCTTCTTTAAGAGGCTCCTCTGTCCTCCACTCGTTACCTGTATTAATGGCACCTGTTTGAACTTGTTATCAGTATAAAAGACACCTGTCCACAACCTCAAACAGTCACACTCCAAACTCCACTATGGCCAAGACCAAAGAGCTGTCAAAGAACACCAGAAACAAAATTGTAGACCTGCACCAGGCTGGGAAGACTGAATCTGCAATAGGTAAACAGCTTGGTTTGAAGAAATCAACTGTGGGAGCAATTATTAGGAAATGGAAGACATACAAGACCACTGATAATCTCCCTCGATCTGGGGCTCCACGCAAGATCTCACCCCGTGGGGTCAAAATGATCACAAGAACGGTGAGCAAAAATCCCAGAACCACACGGGGGGACCTAGTGAATGACCTGCAGAGAGCTGGGACCAAAGTAACAAAGCCTACCATCAGTAACACACTACGCCTTCAGGGACTCAAATCCTGCAGTGCCAGACGTGTCCCCCTGCTTAAGCCAGTACATGTCCAGGCCCGTCTGAAGTTTGCTAGAGTGCATTTGGATGATCCAGAAGAGGATTGGGAGAATGTCATATGGTCAGATGAAACCAAAATGTAACTTTTTGGTAAAAACTCAACTCGTCGTGTTTGAAGGACAAAGAATGCTGAGTTGCATCCAAAGAACACCATACCTACAGTGAAGCATGGGGGAGGAAACATCATGCTTTGGGGCTGTTTTTCTGCAAAGGGACCAGGACGACTGATCCGTGTAAAGTAAAGAATGAATGGGGCCATGTATCTTGTAGATTTTGAGTGAAAACCACCTTCCATCAGCAAGGGCATTGAAGATGAAACGTGGCTGGGTCTTTCAGCATGACAATGATCCCAAACACACTGCCCGGGCAACGAAGGAGTGGCTTCGTAAGAAGCATTTCAAGGTCCTGGAGTGGCCTAGCCAGTCTCCAGATCTCAACCCCATAGAAAATCTTTGGAGGGAGTTGAAAGTCCGTGTTGCCCAGCGACAGCCCCAAAACATCACTGCTCTAGAGGAGATCTGCATGGAGGAATGGGCCAAAATACCAGCAACAGTGTGTGAAAACCTTGAAGACTTACAGAAAACGTTTGACCTGTGTCATTGCCAACAAAGGGTATATAACAAAGTATTGAGAAACTTTTGTTATTGACCAAATACTTATTTTCCACCATAATTTGCAAATAAATTCATTAAAAATCCTACAATGTGATTTTCTGGATTTTTTTTCTAATTTTGTCTGTCATAGTTGACGTGTACCTATGATGAAAATTACAGGCCTCTCTCTTCTTTTTAAGTGGGAGATCTTGCACAATTGGTGGCTGACTAAATACTTTTTTTCCCCACTGTAATTAATCCAGTCAACATTTTTATCAATTGTAACCCACCAGAAAAACGTTGTTGTAAACCCTTCTCCAATTGATCTGCAATTCGCATTACTTTGGTGTCTATAACATTGATAATCTCCGGGGTTCATGGTGAATTGGGGTGCCTTAGTATTATCCTTTTTAATATCAGAACAATTAGGTGAGGTTTGGTTTGATCCCAAATCTATCACACAAGAGAACATGGTCTGAGGCATAGGTGCAGTTACAAGGGTTGGCCTACCTGTTGAACAGGCATAACAATTAGTTTGACCCAACACCCTAGCTGTGTAGTTCATCCACCTACTTTTTTTCCCCACTGTATATTGAAGCAATATCTCAAGACATCAGTCAGGAAGTTAAAGCTTGGTCGCAAATGGGTCTTCCAAATGGACAATGACCCCAAGCATACTTCCAAAGTTGTGGCAAAATAGCTTAAGGACAACAAAGTCAAGGTATTGGAGTGGCCATCACAAAGCCCTGACGTCAATCCTATAGAAAATCTGTGGGCAGAACTGAAAAAGCGTGTGCGAGCAAGGAGGCCTACAAACCTGACTCAGTTACACCAGCTCTGTCAGGAAGAATGGGCCAAAATTCACCCAACTTATTGTGGGAAGCTTCTGGAAGGCTACCCGAAACGTTTGACCCAAGTTAAACAATTTCAAGGCAATGCTACCAAATACTAATTGAGTGTATGTAAACTTCTGACCCACTGGGAATGTGATGAAAGAAATAAAAGCTGAAATAAATCATTCTCTCTACTATTATTCTGACATTTCACATTCTTAAAATAAAGTGGTGATCCTAACTGACCTAAGACAGGGAATTTTTACTAGGTTTAAATGTCAGGAATTGTGAAAAACTGAGTTTAAATGTATTTGGCTAAGGTGTATGTAAACTTCCGACTTCAACTGTATATCATTGGTTCTGATATATTTAATCAAATCTGACTAGCCCAGTGCACTGCTTGCTATGAATTCTATCTGATGGTGTTTGGATGCTTAGGCAAAAAGACAAATAATGTTCTGTTTGGAACACTGACAAGTAGAGAGCTTACATTTTAATTTTTGTATTTGTTTTTTTATATAAAACATTTTTGGGGGGCTCAATCTGAGTGGTTGGGCCTAGCTCCCCAGTGGGTGGGCCTAGCGCCCCATTGGGTGCCTGCTTAATACAACAACTTATTTTGATACCAGTATGTTCTCCAAAAGCCTTGGTCAGAATCTCTGACTACAGTTACTATGTCACCTGCATGTTTTTGAATGTGATCCCACATTGCCTTCAAAGGTTGTTGTTGCCTTTTTGAAGACCTGAAATTAGGAGGGACAATAACAAAGCACATTGAAAAGACGCTGTCACTGGTGCAACAACAGCTTCAGTATGTAAGTGCTCCGAGCCAGTGAATGGAGGGCCTTTGTATTGTTCTCTATGAGAGGCCTGTAGAGCACCAACATGCCTTTACATGAGCTGTCTCTTTGTTTGCGATTCACATGCACAGACACAATTGTTGCTTCTGTTGTCACTAGAAAGGAAGGCTTGATGTTCCCATCCTCTCAATTTGTCCCTCGTTTTTATCACTGAAGACAATACAACTGGAAAATAACAGGCGTGGCGTGCTTAACTTCCCTCGCAACCTTGGATTATACCGTTAATTTGGTGCACAGACATCAAAGGAGTCCTTCTTTACTAAAGCACAGGGCCTGTTGCCCTTCTTTCCTGGAAGAGTCATTCCTCTTTTCTTAAGGCATTTCCTGCTGCTTGCCTTGGCTGGCTGAGGTCCAGTGGTCTTGTTCGGTTTTAATCAAACACAGAGGAGCCATGGCCTGTCGAATAGAGGCCATGCATCACATTGACTGACGGTGAACGCACTTCCTGAGAATGTTATTTTCCTAATTTAAACCTATTCTGGGTCTAAGGTCAGCTATTTATGTCTGAGACATATCTAAATGTAGTTTTAATGGCAGTGTCATTAATCTCTCACAAAGCATTTCACTGAACATAGAGTTTTCTAACTTAAAACTATTTGTATCTTAAAATAATTCCACCTCCATCAACATTGCATAAAAGCTGGTGACTGGTAACTGATAACATCTGTTTACAAAGGAGATCTGATGTAATGCTGCTCAAAACATATGTCATTTTAATAACTTGATCACATTTTGTTACAGGCGCTCTGGTAGATTTTCTCAAGTCGTCTGAGGGATCCAACATACCCATCAACACCCTCATAGATATGGCCTCTCAGGCAAGTCCCCTGCTCTTTACGTCAATCCCAATAGCTCTCTACACTTTTAACTATTGTCTGTCTCCAAATTCTCTCTTACTCTTTCCCCTCTATTCGCTCTTTCACTTTCTATTCTCTCTGTATGATCCTCATCTACAGGAAACAGCTCTTGCTATTGTGAGGCTAACTATAATCTCCCGGTAACAATGGAGACCCCTGTGTGAGGTTTACTAACAATAACACCTTAAGTCTATACACCTTGTCACAAATCTAACTGTGTCAACACCACTGAGGTGCTCACCCCACCACAGTGCAATGCTATATGTGTAACACAAATCAAAGTGACACATACCCTGATACCTGAGAGACATAATGCATATTCCATAATAAAACAAACCTACAGCCTACTCTAAATCACACTTGCACCAAGCTTCATAAGATCAAGAAAGCAGTTGTATTGCTGTTTGAGTCTCTCGTTCTAGAAGAACAACTTACTTAGGAGTAGTTTACGGCCAAGGATGGGGCCAAATATCGGGCCAAAGATGGGAGAACATCTAATTACACCAACATCTTATCTAATTGGGCTACTCTAATGTAATGTTATGGTTACATTATATAACTCTCTGGAAATTGAGCCACATATATGTGTAATGGGATTACAGGGATTTCAACTAACCAAGCTCAGAGTACTCTCAAAGCCGCCTGTGGCAGAGGAAGAGCCTACTCTATGGATGCACTGTGAACGTATTACAGCAAAATAACATTCCTAAGCAATGGCTAGAACACTGATGGCATTCAGCACCATACATTGCTGTAATCACATAGTGAGTAAGTACACTGAAACAACATGACCCCTAGAGCTTGTGAGTGAAAATGTTTTAGCTCTCTGGTTTCAGAGTGGTGCGTAATGATGATATGAAGTTCATACGACACACGCACCTCTCGGTTTTCTGCCAAGGGCCTTGGGGCCCAATGATCCCTATCTGTGAGATTCTTACGTCTGAAATATGCACCAATGTCCGCCTAAACACACACACACACATTGACACACACAAAAGAGATGTAGTCAGCACAGCTGGGCCGGAAAGAGAGCTGGCTGCTAGGGGTTCATAACCTGCCTGTGAAAACTGGGTGGAGCTGCGAGGTGAGGAGCAGAGATCTGACCTGGGGAAGTGGGAACCTCCTAGTCACAGGACTCTACCTCTGCCCTGTCTGTTTCTTATACACACACGAACACACACAGTATGTATCCTTCATAAATTGTGCCTTCCTGTATTATACCTATGCCAAAAAAGTTATTCTATTCTACTGAGCCATTTACTTTATGTTCCTATTCTTATCTTTTATTATTTCTTATTGTTGTTGCATTGTCCAGAAGGAAGTAAGCATTTCATTGGACAGTGTATACCATGTGTGCCCTATACATACGAATAATACAATTTGAAACAAGTATGATTCATTCCTCATGATGTACTGCCTCCTGCAGGTGGCTGAGGGAATGGCCTACATTGAAGAGAAGAACTACATCCATCGGGACCTGCGAGCCGCAAACATCCTGGTGTCTGATGAGCTCATCTGTAAGATCGCTGACTTTGGACTCGCAAGACTCATCGAGGACAACGAGTACACAGCCAGAGAGGGTAGCATTACTTTCCTTTACACTAGAAAAAATGTATGCGCTTGAATGTTCTAAGTGCTTTCTGCAAAGCCATGCACTCTCTCTATACTATAGCCCCACCAAGTGTTCATGTAGAATCCATTGGGTGCTTTTGAAATGAACATGAACCCAAAATTAAACCTATTTCACTCTTCCTTATCAGGTGCCAAATTCCCCATAAAATGGACAGCACCTGAAGCTATAAACTATGGAACCTTTTCCATCAAGTCAGATGTGTGGTCGTTTGGGATCCTCTTGACAGAGATAGTGACGTATGGCCGTATCCCATATCCAGGTATTTCACTGATGCACCTCAATAATAATCCAATATTATACATGTCTATTTCATATGCAATGCATGTAGACTCCACATACACACATTCTCCACATAGCACCTATATAGTCCATAAACATCACATACTCTCTACAAAAATGTTGCCCACAAAACCCCAACACATTGGCCACATTATTAACAAATCTGCATCCCCATCTCTTCTCTCTTCCCACTGTCAGGAATGAGTAACCCAGAGGTGATCCAAAACCTGGAGAGAGGCTACCGGATGCCCCTACCTGAGAACTGCCCTGAGGGTCTGTACAACATCATGAACCTGTGCTGGAAGGAGAGCCCAGAAAACCGGCCAACCTTTGAGTACCTGAGAAGCGTTCTGGAGGACTTCTTCACAGCTACAGAGGGGCAGTACCAGGAACAGCCATAAGACAGACAGACAGACAGACATGGGGACAGGAGAGGAGAGGTCATGACGGACATTACTCCAATTGTTAAAAACTGTTAAGTGAATTATTAATCAAACTATTCTGTGTCTCTGTGCGTCTCCCAAAAGGTTGTAAGTCTTTTGGGATTTAAGTAACGGACAGAGTCCCGATCTGCATAGTCAGAGATCTTTATTCATTGAGAATTCTGCCATCACAATTTCAGAGTCCATCTTTTATACTCATACGTCATACAAAAAAATCCCTCCCCTCTGTAGGCGGGCTGTAGTTTTCCACTCTAAAACTGCTCTCCTGACCATCAGTTCACACACACATATACTCACATGCATACACACACACACACACACACATGCATACACACACATACATACACACTTTCTTATCATAGCCTACTCCCTGCATTCCTCAGTTATCGCCGTTCTCACAATATTCTGCACCATGTTCCATAACAGTTTCTCTCCTCCCTAAATTGGGAGGCCTCTTTATCTTGGTTTCTCAGTTGTCTGTAGACAGTTCTCCTTGTCCTTTGTCTGGCCTAACTCTTACTCACATTGCTGAATAGTAGCTCAATGTCATAGTCTTTACTGGTCCTACACTCACACATTCTAACACATTCCACACAGTTTCGGGGTGTAATAATTAGTCATTAATAATTAATCTATCAATCCACCCTTTGACTAAATATTACACACATACAAAATATATGTTGTTATAGAAATGAATCACACACATTGAAGCATATAAGTTTGCATATAAAAACATAAAAAATGGTCTCATTCAATACAGGTTCATCAGGGTTACCCCATGATTAAAAGTGTAACGTTACTTTTTAGCAATGGTAACTAGTACATCATACTTAAAACGAGACTTTAATACACAAAAGATCTTTACAATAACTTTTAAACTAGAGATTTATAGTTCTAGGAAAACATCCAGTCTCAAACTATCTGTCACGCCCTGGCTCTGGGGACGCTTGTATGTTGAGCCAGGGTGTGAGTGTTCTTTATGTTGTTCTAGTTTTGTGTTTCTAGGGTATAGTTATTGTATTGTGTTTCTATGTTGGCCAGAGTGGTTCTCAATCAGAGGCAACGAGTGTCAGCTGTTGCTGGTTGTCTCTGATTGGGAACCATATTTAAACAGTCTGTTTTTCCACAGTGTTTGTGGGATCTTGTTCCTGTTGTAGGTTTGTGTTTTTGCACCTTTGGACGTCACGTATCGTTTTTGTTATTTTGTTTGTGTATCAATAATAAAAGCATGTTCGCAAATAACTCTGCGCCTTGGTCCTCTGTATACGACGATCGTGACAGAAGATCCCACCAAAACTGGACCAAGCAGCGTGTCCAGGAGCCATCGCCAGGGGAATCGCTAGCGGATCTCCGTGGCAACCTCGACTGGGTCAAGCCTAGTGAAGAGCAGAGAGGGTGGACTTGGGAGCAGTGGAGGAAGAGTCTCGACTGGGTCAAGCCAAGTGAAGAGCAGAGAGGTTGGACTTTGGAGCAGTGGAGGAAGAGTCTGGCGAGAGATAGGGAGGCTTGGTCCACGGGGAGGAGAGACACCCAGAATTTTTTTAGGGGGGGGCTCACGCCGTGGACGACGGGGCAGCAGGAGGCCGCGATAGAGCGGTCCAGCGGGTTGGCAGAGGAGGCCGCCAGGTTAAGGGGGCCACTGGTCACAAAGGGGAAGGAAAGTGTAGAGGCACGGCGAGAGGTACTGGGGTGTGTTACCAGTCCGGTCCGGCCCGTTCCTGATCCCCGCGTAGGGCCAGTGGCGTGTGTCCCCAGTACGGTCCGGCCTGTTCCTGTCCCTTGCACCGAGCCTGTGGTGCGTGTCGCCAGCCCGGTCCGGCCTGTTCCTGCTCCCCGCACCAAGCCTATGGTGCGCGTCGCCAGCCCGGCCCGGCCTGTTCCTGCTCCCCGCACCAAGCCTATGGTGCACGTCGCCAGCCCGGCCCGGCCTGTTCCTGCTCCCCGCACCAAGCCTATGGTGCGCGTCGCCAGCCCGGCCCGGCCTGTTCCTGCTCCCCGCACCAAGCCTATGGTGCGCGTCGCCAGCACGGCCCGGCCTGTTCCTGCTCCCCGCACCAAGCCTATGGTGCGCTTCGTCAGCCCGGTCCGGCCTGTTCCTGCTCCCCGCACCAAGCCTATGGTGCGCGTCGCCAGCCCGGTCCGGCCTGTTCCTGCTCCCCGCACCAAGCCTATGGTGCGCTTCGTCAGCCCGGTCCGGACCGCTCCTGCTCCCCGCACCAAGCCTATGGTGCACGTCGCCAGCCCGGCTCGGCCTGTTCCTGCTCCCCACACCAAGCCAGTGGTGTGCGTCATCAGTCCGGCACAGCCCGTGCCTGTTCCACCGGTGCCTGGTCCGGTACCGGTCAGCTGCTCCACGCCGGAGCTAGAGCAATCCGCTCCACCAGTGTTCAGTCCAGCTCCGGCCAGCAGGGCCAGACCGGACCAAAGGGTACTGTGGGGGGTTAGAGAGGGAGTGGGGATCATGCCCAGAGCCGGATCCGCCGCCAAGGCGGAGTGCCCACCCGGTCCCTCCCCTGTGGTGTTCTGTTGGCGCGGTCGGAGTCCGCGCCTTTGGGGGGGGGGTACTGTCACGCCCTGGCTCTGGGGACGCTTGTATGTTGAGCCAGGGTGTGAGTGTTCTTTATGTTGTTCTAGTTTTGTGTTTCTAGGGTATAGTTCTTGTATTGTGTTTCTATGTTGGCCAGAGTGGTTCTCAATCAGAGGCAACGAGTGTCAGCTGTTGCTGGTTGTCTCTGATTGGGAACCATATTTAAACAGTCTGTTTTTCCACAGTGTTTGTGGGATCTTGTTCCTGTTGTAGGTTTGTGTTTTTGCACCTTTGGACGTCACATATCGTTTTTGTTATTTTGTTCGTGTATCAATAATAAAAGCATGTTCGCAAATAACGCTGCGTCTTGGTCCTCTGTATACGACGATCGTGACACTATCTGAATCGTCGTCGTCCTCCACCACCAAGCCTGGTGGGTCATATTCTTCATTCCTTAGGTCGGAGTCCGGGATTGGGCCGTATCTCACCATCTGCTGTGATACTGCTCCAACGCCTTGCTCACCAATCCTCGGACACAGGGAATAAGACAACATCCACAAAGAACAAGCATACCCATAGACGCGATTGCCGCGCCTAAAATAGTTACAACAATAGTTTTCCATTTACCAAACATTTTATCAAACCAACCAGTCATTGATGTATTCACCCCCCAGTTCTCAGCCCATTCTTTACTTTATGCACTTTATACACTGTCCAGAGTTTCAGAGATCACAGCTTCCTCTCTGAGAAACTCTACACGGGGACACCATATTTTGTAAATGGCCTCCAAGCAAGAACATTTGGAATCTGGACATTGTTGTCTTCAATTATCCGCTGCATGTGCGCCATCGACATTCAGAACAAAACGCTCTATCACATCACCCTTTGGACATTTGTACTGGCTCTGGGACACTTCCTGTCTGAAGCCTTCATCTACAAAACGGCACCTCTGACCATTGGCGTTATGGCACCTTTCATTGTGGCGAGTTTCTCTATCGTGGGAATGCTGATTGGGTTCCAGTGTGTTCCAGAGCCTCAGGAGGAGGTGGGTGCACGGCAGAAGAAGCGGGCAGAAGAAGCAGAACTGATTCCAAGCAGCAGAAAACGGTTTAGCCCACCACTAGAGAAAGCTGTGGGATAGTCTACTGCTTCTTGCCTTGAAGAATGAGTGGCCTATTTACTATACTGTATGTACGCGCAGGTAGCTTAGTGGTTAAGAGCGTTGTGCCAGTAACCGAAAGGTCGCTGGTTCTAATCCCCGAGCCGACTAGGTGAAAAATCTGTCGATGTGACCTTGAGCAAGGCACTTAACCCTAATTGCTCCTGTAAGTCGCTCTGGATAAGAGCGTCTGCTAAATGACTAAAATGTCAAATGTAATGCAGTGAGACCTGCCAGTGCTCTAGTTACTGTACCATCTGGGGCTGTGTTGTTGGGGATAAACATACAACAATGACCTCCCACCATCTTGCAAATCCGCCCTTCTCTGCTAAAAGCATTTCGAGAACCAAACTATTCTGCAGGTCATGAGTGAGGTGGCAGATAGTTGGCCTGAGATTCTCTTCACTGCATCCCCTGTCTAATTAACAAACATTTGTAGATGTACAGTGGGGAAAAAGTATTTAGTCAGCCACCAATTGTGCAAGTTCTCCCACTTAAAAAGATGAGAGAGGCCTGTAATTTTCATCATAAGTACACGTCAACTATGACAGACAAAATGAGGGAAAAAAATCCAGAAAATCACATTGTAGGATTTTTTATGAATTTATTTACAAATTATGGTGGAAAATAAGTATTTGGTCACCTACAAACAAGCAAGAGTTCTGGCTCTCACAGACCTGTAACTACTTCTTTAAGAGGCTCCTCTGTCCTCCACTCGTTACCTGTATTAATGGCACCTGTTTGAACTTGTTATCAGTATAAAAGACACCTGTCCACAACCTCAAACAGTCACACTCCAAACTCCACTATGGCCAAGACCAAAGAGCTGTCAAAGGACACCAGAAACAAAATTGTAGACCTGCACCAGGCTGGGAAGACTGAATCTGCAATAGGTAAGCAGCTTGGTTTGAAGAAATCAACTGTGGGAGCAATTATTAGGAAATGGAAGACATACAAGACCACTGATAATCTCCCTCGATCTGGGGCTCCACGCAAGATCTCACCCCGTGGGATCAAAATGATCACAAGAACGGTGAGCAAAAATCCCAGAACCACACGGGGGGACCTAGTGAATGACCTGCAGAGAGCTGGGACCAAAGTCTACCATCAGTAACACACTACGCCGCCAGGGACTCAAATCCTGCAGTGCAAGATGTGTCCCCCTGCTTAAGCCAGTACATGTCCAGGCCCGTCTGAAGTTTGCTAGAGTGCATTTGGATGATCCAGAAGAGGATTGGGAGAATGTCATATGGTCAGATGAAACCAAAATAGAACTTTTTGGTAAAAACTCAACTCGTCGTGTTTGGAGGACAAAGAATGCTGAGTTGCATCCAAAGAACACCATACCTACTGTGAAGCATGGGGGTGGAAACATCATGCTTTGGGGCTGTTTTTCTGCAAAGGGACCAGGACGACTGATCCGTGTAAAGGAAAGAATGAATGGGGCCATGTATCTTGTAGATTTTGAGTGAAAACCACCTTCCATCAGCAAGGGCATTGAAGATGAAACGTGGCTGGGTCTTTCAGCATGACAATGATCCCAAACACACCGCCCGGGCAACGAAGGAGTGGCTTCGTAAGAAGCATTTCAAGGTCCTGGAGTGGCCTAGCCAGTCTCCAGATCTCAACCCCATAGAAAATCTTTGGAGGGAGTTGAAAGTCCGTGTTGCCCAGCGACAGCCCAAAACATCACTGCTCTAGAGGAGATCTGCATGGAGGAATGGGCCAAAATACCTGCAACAGTGTGTGAAAACCTTGTGAAGACTTACAGAAAACGTTTGACCTGTGTCATTGCCAACAAAGGGTATATAACAAAGTATTGAGAAACTTTTGTTATTGACCAAATACTTATTTTCTACCATAATTTGCAAATAAATTCATTAAAAATCCTACAATGTGATTTTCTGGATTTCTTTTCCTAATTTTGTCTGTCATAGTTGACGTGTACCTATGATGACAATTACAGGCCTCTATCATCTTTTTAAGTGGGAGAACTTGCACAATTGGTGGCTGACTAAATACTTTTTTTAATTCAACCTTTCACATTTCTCAATCCACCTAGTAATCTAGGTCCATAGCCCCAATGCGAAAGCTTTACCCACTGTCCCTACCTAGGTTCGAACCAGGGACCCTCTACATACATTGCCATTCACTCCACAAAATCCGCGATCCTTTCAAAGCACGCCAAACAACCACTTCCATGTCGCACAGCCAGCCACGTCATCACTCCCGACTAGCCAGCCCTTTCATCCCAAACACTAAATCCCCTAGTAGCAAAAATAAAACACACTCTCAAACAGCGTTCTGCATTTACCTCTATCATCGGGTTTAAAAACTAACGTAACAACATTAACCATCCTCTATTGCTGTAGTAACGTCAGGTTTGGTTCAGTTTATTTATTACGATGGTATGTCCATAATACTTCTCTATTCTCAGTAGTTTTTAATTCACCTCATTCGGCAACACAAAATCTCTCTCCCTGCACCTATTCCTGTTGAATAAGTGAGCCTTTCTATTTAACCCAAACCACGCTACAAATCTTCCATTCAACATCACCAAACCAAATACTCAGTAGTATCCGGTTACCACCCATACCAGCCGTTGAATTACACTCATAAATACAGATTGCACCTTATGCCATTGAAATTACAAATAAACCATAATAGTTCAATGGAACCCTACATTTGCTTTCTACTATATTATACATTACGTCTATAACCACATTAGTTATTGTCCGATTACCCATTAAACCTTATCACATTATCCAACAACTGTACAACCTTAGAAAACTCATATTCTCTACTTTCTCACCCATGACGTACGTCTACGTTTGGGTGAGCAAGTTCATACATATATAACGTTAGGAACTTATAGGTACCTTCCAAATAATCCCTTCGTGGTGTTTTTAGCCAATTCTTAATCGACACAAATCACTTCTTCAAACTTTTTACCCGTGGAACCAAAATTTCCCAGACACTGCTCTCACTACATCTCTCTGAGTCCATGCTCTGTATACTTATAAGGTATCAGGCTGGTTGTCTTCTCCTGCTCTGGGGTTTGGCAGGGCTATTAAGGGATAGGATTGCTCCATCTTACCCTTACCACTGCCAGCCCCACCTGACTCTTCTCCGTCTGTCTCCTCTACCTCTATTGCTGACTTTCCATATGTGTACCTCATATGTTATTATTCTTATGTTTGCTGCCACTGTATATTCCCCTATGTAACATCCCCTTATTTTGTATCTGTTTGCCTGTGGTTCTCTTTCTAATCTTTGTCTCGGCATTCCTCCTCCAGCCCCTTCTTCCTCATAGGGAGGTGGGGCCGGTGGGGGGGCGAGATTATTCTGCTGCACTCTCCTTCTCCTCACTACGTACTCATCATCTGGATTTTCTCTCCATGCCTGGTCTGCCAAGTTTGGATATAACCTTCCTGCCCTCTGCTCTGGGGGAGGCACTGAGACCTCAACCTTCACTTCTCTTTCACTCTCACTCACTTCTCTTTTCTTCCTGCCTTCTTCCCGCTTTCTAGCTTCTACTAGCCACACCCTGGCTGTTTCTAAGCCCTTTCTTTTCTGTTTCTTTAGATCAGTACCACAATTTACATGCATTTGTTTAATCATGGATTCCAGTTTAATTACACTAGTAATTCTCCCGAGTGGCGCAGTGGTCTAAGGCCACTAGAGATCCTGGTTCGAATCCAGGCTCTGTCGTAGCCGGCCGCGACCGGGAGACCCATGGAGAGGCGCACAATTGGCCCAGCGTCGTCCAGGGTAGGGGAGGGAATGGCCGGCAGGGATGTAGCTCAGTTGGTAGAGCATGGTGTTTGCAACGCCAGGGTTGTGGGTTCGATTCCCACGGGGGCTAGTATGAAAAAAAAAGAAGAATGTATGCACTCACTAACTGTAAGTCGCTCTGGATAAGAGTGTCTGCTAAATGACTAAAATGTAATGTAAAATGTAAGTATTTCTCGTCCTCAGTAAATTCTGGGACCTCTTGTGAGGATTTGCCCCCCATGGTTGGTACTGTTAAAAATCCCTTCTATATAACAAGTCAATATAACAAGTAATTCAAAACAGCTTCACACCACAACACCTGGAATCACCCCTCCCTGTATAGGTATTCTTGACTAGTCCCCCAGAATTATCTCCTACTCTACGGAGGAATTTATCCCCACAATGTAATCTTGACAATTCCTGACAGTCTCATACAACAGGAATGGGTTCTCCCTCTTCTCTATACAAGCACCTGGAATTATTCATAGATGTGACTTTTGAGCAAATATTAGGTCTCACACGTATACAACCTTACATGATTATTGGTTAACACTATCGGTAAGCCGGAGTTTGTAAGGCTCCAGTTTCATGAAACGGATAGAGTTATGGCAAAATCTACAGTTTTTTGTGACTTTTGACTTTACTAATATTCTATTTCTCACACATGCTATTTTAATTCCTTCTGGTGTACACCCCTCCCTGTATTTCTTTATCCCAGATTATTTGTTGAACATTACTGTTCTATAATCTACTACAGGTTCTCTGAATACAGGGTAGTTTATTTTGGTAATGGCCTATTACCGTGAATCGTTACGGATCCACCCTGAGCAATCCCAGACTGCCCCAATTAATGAATAAAGACTACTGACCTTATCCTTGCAGCCGAGATTCAATGTAGGTTTGGATTCCGTCACCGTCTCTGTCATTAATCAGGTGTCCTCTGGCCTGTCTTAACCCTTAATGTCAAAGGGCAGGACTTTCTATTTATGAATGTATCATTCGCCCGTCTATGGTTTTCAGAGTTACCTGGAATGACAGAGACAGGTATTGGATTCCGAGCTCGAAGGACCAAGCTGTTAAGTGAATTATTAATCAAACTATTCTGTGTCTCTGTGCGTCTCCTAAAAGGTTGTAAGTCTTTTGGGATTTAAGTAACAGACAGAGTCCCGATCTGCATAGTCAGAGATCTTTATTCATTGAGAATTCTGCCATCACAATTTCAGAGTCCATCTTTTATACTCATACGTCATACAAAAAATCCCTCCCCTCTGTAGGCGGGCTGTAGTTTTCCACTCTAAAACTGCTCTCCTGACCATCAGTTCACACACACATATACTCACATGCATACACACACACATACATACACACTTTCTTATCATAGCCTACTCCCTGCATTCCTCAGTTATCGCCATTCTCACAATATTCTGCACCATGTTCCATAACAGTTTCTCTCCTCCCTAAATTGGGAGGCCTCTTTATCTTGGTTTCTCAGTTGTCTGTAGACAGTTCTCCTTGTCCTTTGTCTGGCCTAACTCTTACTCACATTGCTGAATAGTAGCTCAATGTCATAGTCTTTACTGGTCCTACACTCATTTTACATTTACATTTTAGTCATTTTAGCAGACGCTCTTATCCAGAGCGACTTACAGTTAGTGAGTGCATACATTATTTTTAATACTAGCCCCCCGTGGGAATCGAACCCACAACCCTGGCGTTGCAAACGCCATGCTCTACCAACTGAGCTACATCCCTGCCGGCCATTCCCTCCCCTACCCTGGACGACGGGCCAATTGTGCGCCGCCCCATGGGTCTCCCGGTCGCGGCCGGCTACAACAGAGCCTGGATTCGAACCAGGATCTCTAGTGGCACAGCTAGCACTGCGATGCAGTGACTTAGACCACTGTGCCACTCGGGATGACACTCACACATTCCAAAACATTCCACACAGTTTCAGGGTGTAATAATTAGTCATTAATAATTAATCCATCAAAAACCCATCTTATATGCTTTTGATACTATCTATCTGAGAACCATGCCTGATCTCCTTTCAATACACACCTAAACATTTGAAGGATGTAATTAAAGCATTTACAGTGTGACATTTTTTTTAAGCTCAAGGAAGATACCACTGTACTTTTGTATCCTCTGCATTCATTTTTCATTTCATGTTTTTTGTTCGATTTGTACTGTTTAGATATTTCTATATTCTCTTTGTATATTTGTTCTATGCGTTTGAAGACTATAAATCCATGGATGATGATGTCCTTACAAAAAACACAAATGTTAGGCCTACTCTGTTCATTTATCTGTTGATGCCATGATGCTTCTTCTTACACGAAATACATATAAAATGTCGATGATGCTCATGCAATAAAAAGTTATGTAAAACATAAAAAAGACTAAACAAATAAGTGGCAAAAGTAAAAATGTTTGCCTACCTGAAATCCCAAACTCCGTGCTTGTTGTGGCGGGATCTGACTGCAACGCCCCTCTACAGTGTAAACTACTACTTGATTGGTTGAAGTGACGTTCTACAAATTATCCGATTGTATCCACCCTGTTTCCGAAGTACAGCTGCCGCTTTTCGCCCACTGGGTCTGTGGTGTAAAATAAGGTAAAATGGCGCTGAGTTCTCAAGGAACAAAGAAAAAAGTTTGCTACTATTATGATGGTAAGTACTGATTTGCCTTTACATTGAGTAATTGTACAATGTGCTTTGTTAGAGTGGTGCAAATGGTTCAATTTGTGGTCAGATTAGCCCGCTAGCTAGCTAACGTTAGCTAGCTCCGATGTGCAAACGTGCAGCATCCCTTTGTGCAAGAGCGAGGCATTTCCAAATTCTGTACATTGATCTTTCAGAAAATTTTCACTAATGCCAAATATTATCATCCAATGTGTAATAACGTCAGGTTACTTGTCCACTATGTTCATGTCGTCGAGTTAGCTAGTTTGGGCAAAGGCAGAACACACTGGTAAGACCCATTAGCTAGCTATGCAAGCATTGGAATCCACTAAGATAGCAAGCTAGCTAATAGCTAGCAACAACGTTAGCTATTACTAGCTAACGGTAACCTATTTCACTTCCTGGACGTAATAAGCTTGCTATCATTATAGTGAGTCTCTACAAAAAATGCACCCAGTTCCGTTGCATTGGCCAGATTGTTTGCACGTTAGTGGCCGTCCATTATCCGCAGATGTGCATGTGTTGTGGTCCGAATTGTTACTATTAATCAACGCAAAAGTTGTTTGTTATTGCAGTGTTGCCTTTAAAGGTTTGCAATCTAGCCAGACTATGCTGTACTGGACAACAAGCTAGGATGATGCATACATTGGATATCTGTGCTGATGTACACTTTCTTCCTCTCTCTTTATTCAAAGGTGATGTTGGGAATTACTACTATGGCCAGGGGCACCCCATGAAGCCACACCGTATCCGCATGACACACAACCTCTTGCTGAACTATGGTCTCTACAGAAAGATGGAGATATACGTATGTTGAAAACCTTGAAACGATTTGTAAGCTCAGAAGAAAGCCTGCAAGCTCAATAGTTCCCAGTTGAAAAAGTAAAGCCTGGTTTGTAAGGTGTCAGTAATTGGTCTTCTCCATGTCTCTGTACAGCGACCTCACAAAGCCAATGGGGAGGAGATGACCAAGTACCACAGTGACGACTACATCAAGTTCCTGCGTTCCATTCGGCCAGACAACATGTCAGAGTACAGCAAACAGATGCAGAGATGTGAGTTTGGGGCAGAGATGATGTCATGCCTCAATATACCTATACATTTGAGCAGTGAAAAGTCACAGATAAATATTTTTTGGAAAAGCATCTAGTAAAGCTTTGTCATTGTTTTTGCTGCTCTCATGGATTGTGTATTAACACATTTTCTGCAATTCCCACACAGTTAACGTTGGAGAGGATTGCCCTGTGTTTGATGGCCTGTTTGAGTTCTGCCAGCTCTCAACAGGAGGTTCTGTTGGTAAGTTAATCTGTCATATTCACGTGTAGCAGGGTTTCTGTTAGTCGCAAGTACCGGCTTTTGGCCAACAAAAAATGAAAAGCTGATAAATAATACTGTTGGCGGCCAAAATGACCCCCCCAAAATAATCCCATTGCAAAATAATGCTTTTTAGTCATTGATGGAAATACATTTGACCGGTCTATGGGTTCATTTGCATACTTTAGTGGAATTAAATCGGCGTGTGTATTTTTGTTAGTCGTCGTGTATCTTACTTCTCTAACACAACTATTATACGCGCACAGCGTGTATCTTCTCTAACACAACTATTATACGCGCACAGCGTGTATCTTCTCTAACACAACTATTAGACGCGCACAGCGTGTAATAGCGTGTAATTTTGAGTGGGATTTCTGCTGCAGCTCCTCAGCTTTTTATACGCCCATTCATTGCGCAACAATTATAAATGCAATCGCATGTTTTTTCAACTGGTAATTGAAGCGGGCCTCCCATTCACCATTCAAGTGAAGGCAACAGGATGTCACCCACCACTTAACAATGTGAGCTGGAGGCAGTATGCATTTTAAAAACCTACTTAATTGTTTGAAACCTGGATGTTTTATTTCATATTATGAAATATTATGATTATTATCTTACCTTGCTTCAAAGTAGCCTATAGGCTAAATCCAACCATGGAAACATGGAGGCAATTATTTTACAATGACATCATAGGTGGCTCGTGGGTTTCAAGTTGGGGGAAGCTTACAATTTATCCTACCATTTCTACCGATCTGTGTGCCAGTTATGATTTTCATATGCATATTTTCGTGGAACTGTTTCATTTAAATAATGTAGTTTGTTTCTTAAAATCATTGTCACGTGGTTAATCATACAAATCGGAATAAAATGATACCATTTGAAAAGTTAAATTTCAACTAATGCAAGATCACCAGCCTCTGCCATAAGGACACATTGATACACCGTGATCCATTGGCTGCTAAAGAAATGAGCGCATGGAACTCATCGCCTATAGGCCATTGTAGCAGTAGGCCTATAACTTCCATTGCTCTTTCACCCCGAGGCTTGGTGATTATCGAGGGGGAGATTGTTGGAAAGATCTTTCAAATAGCCTACTGCGAGGAACTGAATTTTTAAAATATTATAATCCGCAATGGATGTAAAAAAAAAAATATATATATATATATATATATACATACATACACACACACACAGTGGGGGGGAAAAGTATTTAGTCAGCCACCAATTGTGCAAGTTCTCCCACTTAAAAAGATGAGAGAGGAATGGGATACTTTTTTCCCACACTGTATATACGGACTTACTGTGTGAGGTGAAGAAAATGACTTAGAAGCTCCACTTATTAGTGGTGGATGTGGTGAGTTAAGACTATCAGAAATCAGACATCCCCAAATGGGCACTTTCCTACATTTCTGCGCAGCAGGCCGGGTACTTCTATGCGTGCTCAGGTGCGCACACTCCCTCAACATTATCAAGACAGAAACCAGACACATGCTCATTGTGCACATAGAGCACTCCAAACAAAAGACAATGAAAACATTGACAAATCTTGTAAATGATGGTTATGAAGTGAACCAAAAAGTATTTCTCACAAGTGTAGAAGGTTGTGAACTCTGCAAACAACGTTTACGCTCCGCGAATGAGAATCGTAAATTACAGAAATTAATATAACCAAATGATGGGGATTAACGGTACATTTACTGCTGGTGACATGTAATGGAGAATTGATCAAAATAAACAATCAAAGGGCGAACAATTCACACAATGAATCAATGAATGTGCAAGAATTGGCGGGAGACAGCTGAATTCTGGAGAGAGACTCCTATATCTTCACCACACACCCATCCCTTTCTTGTCTCAACATACTCAAGACACATTATCTTCACACACATTTGAGATGCTTTTCACTGATAGCCGCAACTCAGTAATCAGCTAGGAATATTGCCACACAAGTCATGCTTTCTGGTGAAGTATTTCAAATGATTTTATTTATTTCTGTATAGACATGAGTAATTATATAATTTTGGCAAGTTTATTTCAATTAACTTCCCTATTGGACCCACCGCTATGCCATTTCTCTCCTGTTCTATTGGTTTTCATATCAACTTTCTTTCGTTGTCCAGAAGCCAAAGGCACAATCCTAGTCATATTAGCAACCCATCCTAGTTGTTGCATCTTTAGATACACCCTCTTTCTAAATTTCTAACAGATTTTCATCTACATATGGAACTGCTCTCATCAGGTGCAGTGTTTAGAATGGTGTTTCCCCGCGAATTGCATTTTGGTAAATGTTTCAAAATGACATTTTATTGGCTGCTTCCTTACAGGAGTTGCATGTTCTGTTAAGATGAATTACCATCATCTAAGTATGATTTGTCATTCTGAGCACCGTGAGTGGACACCCAAATTAAAACGTTCCCGGCCACATTGTCTGGCGCCACATTTTCTTAGCCGAAACCCTGATGTGTAGGCTACCCCGTTGGATGAGGCACATTTTGCCTGGAAAGTTCGAATATTTTTCTGGCTTACTTGTCCTCTTCTGGGGCTGTCAATTACAGGAATATAGCTATAGTTTCATGCTCTCTGATTGGCTTCTCTTTCCCTGTGTTTTAGCTGGAGCTGTGAAGCTAAACAAACAGCAGACAGACATTGCCATTAACTGGGCCGGAGGCCTCCATCACGCCAAGAAGTCTGAGGCGTCAGGTTTCTGCTATGTGAATGACATTGTGCTCGCCATTCTGGAGTTACTGAAGTGAGTCAAACAGCCCCACAGCACTTAATGAAGTTTATGTGAAAGTTTATGTAGATGTTGTAGCCTACTGAATTAAATAGTAACTTCACATTGGGACACTATAGATACACCACATTTAGGAGAAGGATCATTCAATCTGTTAATGGTGAATCTTCTCTCCTCTCAGATACCACCAGAGAGTTCTGTACATAGACATTGACATCCACCATGGAGATGGAGTAGAGGAGGCGTTCTACACCACAGACAGGGTCATGACCGTGTCCTTCCACAAGTACGGAGAGTACTTCCCCGGCACTGGAGACCTGAGGGTGAGTTTGATATTGTCAGGGGATGAGAATTGGCGGGCATTGTTTATTAAAGGACATCCAAAGGATACGTTGAATTCAAACTTCATGGCCTGTTGATTGTAGTTTCCTACAGTCTTTATTGGTCGACATTGCTCTCCTCCCCCCTGTAACTCTTCCCCAGGTCGTTGCTGTAGAATACATGTTCTCAGTCATCTTACCTGGTAAAATAAGGGTCCGTTTTTTAAAAACTGTCCACACTTGTAGTTGACTGACTGTTATTTCTCCTCAAGGATATTGGTGCCGGGAAGGGCAAGTACTATGCTGTGAATTACCCTCTGAGAGATGGGATAGACGACGAGTCTTACGAAGCCATATTCAAACCTGTAAGTCTACTCATTTTTTTTTGTCTTTACTGTATCTCATCTCTCCTCCCTGTAACTCAAACAGACCCAAGTGTAGATAGACCCTATTCTTGTTTCCATTTAGCCAACCATATCTTGTCATCTATATCTGTGTGTAGATCATGGCTAAGGTGATGGAGATGTACCAGCCTAGTGCAGTGGTTCTTCAGTGTGGAGCCGACTCCCTCTCAGGAGACAGGCTTGGCTGCTTTAACCTCACCATCAAAGGCCATGCTAAGTGTGTGGAGTACATGAAGAGCTTCAACCTGCCCCTGCTGATGCTGGGTGGTGGAGGCTACACCATCCGGAACGTGGCCCGCTGCTGGACCTATGAGACAGCCGTGGCCCTGGACAGCTCCATACCCAATGGTGAGCTCTCCTGCTGCACCATTGATTTGTGTACTTTTACTTTCTAGTGTTACTATCTTAACAGTTGTATTTGACAGGTCAGAGGGCATGAGTGTGTTTTTAAGGATAGTTTCAACTAAAGCAGACACATGTCACTACCCACCGTGTTAAAATATTAATATTTCTCCACAGAGCTTCCATACAATGATTACTTTGAGTACTTTGGGCCAGACTTCAAACTGCACATCAGCCCCTCTAACATGACCAACCAGAACACCAACGACTACCTGGAGAAGATCAAGTGAGTCATAAGGAAAAAATACTGTTCTATCATACTGTATTAGTCATGATGTAAGTCGCTCTGGATAAGAGCGTCTGCTAAATGACTAAAAATGTAAATGATGAAGTAATGTGTCTAGATTTGGTTCATAGTATCAAGTAACTGTTATATAAGCTACACTACATGGTCAAAATGACATGGCCGATCTCAACTAACCATTTCTTTGTGGATCTCGCTTTGTGCACGGGGGCATTGTCATGCTGAAACAGGAAAGGGCCTTCCCCAAACTGTTGCCACAAAGTTGGAAGCACAGAATTGTGTAGAATGTCATTGTATGCTGTAGCATTAAGATTTCCCTTCACTGGAACTAAGGGGCCTAGTCCGAACCATGAAAAACAGCCCCAGACCATTATTCCTCCTCCACCAAACTTTTAAGTGTTCACTATGCATTGGGGCAGGTAGCGTTATCCTGGCGTCCGCCAAACCCAGATTTGTCTGTCTGACTGCCAGATGGTGAAGCGTGATTCATCACTCCAGAGAACACGTTTCCACTGCTCCAGAGTCCATTGGCAGCGAGCTTTACACCACTCCAGCTAACGCTTGGCATTGCGCATGGTGATCTTAAGCTTGTGTGCAGCTGCTCGGCCATGGAAAGCCATTTCATGAAGGTTGCGAAGAACCGTTCTTGTGCTGACGTTTCTTCCAGAGGCAGTTTGGAACTCGGTTGTGAGTGTTGCAACCGAGGACATCCCATTTTTACGCGCTTCAGCACTCGGCGGTCCCGTTCTGTGAGCTTGTGTGGCCTACCATTTCCCGGCTGAGCCGTTGTTGCTCCTAGACATTTCCACTTTACGATAACAGCACTTACAGTTGACCGGGGCATTTTCTTCCAGAGCTCTGTGAAAGAACACAGAGCTCTTCAGTACGGGTCATTCTACTGCCAACATTTGTCTATGGAGATTGCATTGCTGCGTGCTATATTTCATACACCTGTCAGCAACGGGTGTGGCTGAAATAGCCAAATCCATTAATTTGAAGGGGTGTCCATGTACTTTTGGCCGTGTAGTTATAGATGTTGATCAGGTCATTTCACTTACCAAAAAGGTCATATTACTGCACTTATGTTATACATATGATCCTTGATGTGTCATATGATAGTGTATTTTTGGCACTATTATAGTTGTTTAGGGGATGTCATGTAGATTGGGTGTCCCTTCAGGCAGCGTCTGTTTGAGAACCTGCGCATGCTGCCCCACGCCCCGGGAGTTCAGATGCAGGCCATCCCAGAAGACGCTGTGCAGGAGGACAGTGGAGACGAGGAGGAGGAAGACCCTAACAAACGCATCTCCAGTAAGTTCTTTGTATTGAGATATGATGCACAGCCCCAGCAAACACATCTTGAGTAAGTACTTTGCCCAGTTTGCAAATACACAGAACAAAAATATTAACGCATGCAACGATTTAAGATTTTACTGAGTTACAGTTCAAATAACTCTACCCACATGTACATATTACCTCAACTAGCCGGTGCCCCCGCACATTGACTATGCAACGGTACCCCCCTGTATATATAGCCTCCCTACTGTCACTTTATTCTATTGTATATATAGCCTCCCTACTGTCACTTTATTTTTTACTTCTGCTCTTTTTTTTCTCAACACTTTTTTGTTGTTGTTTTATTCTTACTTTTTTTGTTTAAAATAAATGCACTGTTGGTTAAGGGCTGTAAGTAAGCATTTCACTGTAATGTCTGCACCTGTTGTATTCGGCGCATGTGACCAATAAAATTTGATTTGATTTGATTTGATTTGATTTGATTTGATTTGAAATAAGGAAATCAGTCAATTGAAATAAATTCCTTAGGCTCTAATCTATGGATTTCTCATGACTGGGAATACAGATATGCATCTGTTGGTCACAGATATCCTGTTTTTAAAAAGATAGCGGCATGGATCAGAACCAGTCAGTATCTGGTGTGACCAGCATATGCCCCATGCAACGTTACACATCTGCTTCGCATAGTTGATTGTGGCCTGTGGAATGTTGTCCCACTCCTCTTCAATGGCTGTGCGAAGTTGCTGAATATTGGCAGGAACTGGAACACGCTGTCGTACACGTTGATCCAGAGCATCCCAAACATGCTCAATGGGTGACATGTCTGAGTATGCAGGCCATGGAATAACTGGGACAGTTTCAGCTTCCAGGAATTGTGCCGATCCTTGCGACATGGGGCCGTGTATTATGCTGAAACATGAGGTGATGGCGGCAGATGAATGGCACGACAATGGGCCTCAAGATCTCGTCACGGTATCTCTGTGCATTCAAATTGCCATCGATAAAATGCTATTCTGTGTTTGTCCGTAGCTTATGCCTGCCCATACCATAACCCCACCGCCACCATGGGACACTCTGTTCACAACGTTGACATCAGCAAACCTGCTCGCCCACACGTCTGCCATGCCCGGTACAGTTGAAAACGGGATTCATTCGTGAAGAACACACTTTTCCAGTGTGTCAGTGGCCATCGAAGGTGAGCATTTGCCCACAAGTCAGTTACGACACTGTACTGTAGTCAGGTCAAGACCCTGGTGAGGACGACGAGTACGCAGATGAGCTTCCCTGAGACGGTTTCTGACATTTTGTGCAGAAATTCTTTGGTTGTGCAAACCCACAGTTTCATCAGCTGTCTGGGTGGCTGCTCTCAGACGATCATGCAGGTGAAGAAGCCAGATGTGGAGGTCCTGAGCTGGCATGGATACATGTGGTCTGCGGTTGTGAGGCCGGTTGGAAGTACTGCCAAACTCTAAAACGACGTTGGAAAGAAATGAACATTCCATTCTCTGGCAAAAGCTCTGGTGGACATTCCTGCAGTCGGCATGCCAAATGTACACTCCCTCAACTTGAGACATCTGTGGCATTGTGTTGTGACAACTGCACAATTTAGTGGCCTTTTTATTGTCCCCAGCACAAGGTGCACCTGTGTAATGAGCATGCTGTTTAATCAGCTTGTTGATATGCTACACCTGTCAGGTGGATAGATTATCTTGGCAAAGTAGAAATGCTCACTAACAGGGATGGGGGAAAAACACATTTGTGCATAAAATCTAAGAAATACGCTTTTTGTGCGTTTGGAAAATGTGTTATCTTTTATTTCAGCTCATGAAACATGGGACCAACACTTTACATGTTAAGTTTTATTTTTGTTAAGTATAGTAAGTAATCTACCCAGTGTATGCAGTGTGAGGCAGTTGGTGCGCGTGTATGTGAGTTACTGTCATACACTGAGATGCTTATACTCCTGTCTTCTGCTCTTGTGCAGTCCGTGCCCATGACAAGAGGATAGCATGTGACGAGGAGTTCTCCGACTCTGAGGACGAGGCTGAGGGTCAAGGGGGCGGACGCAGAAATGCAGCCAGCTTCAAGAAAGCAAAGAGGACAAAGACTGAAGAAGAGAAAGAGGGAGAAGAGAAGAAAGCGGGTGATGAAAAGAAAGCTGATGAGAAGAAAGGTATCACAATCATTACTTCGTTCTATATCAGACATACCACGTCCCATTGAACATGTGACTTTGAGGATGATTATTTGTGTTGCTTCTTTGTTATTCTAGAAGTAAAAGAAGAAAAGGTGCCAGAAGAGGAGAAAATGGACACAACCACAAAGGGGTGAGCAAACATTTCAAACACCCATTTTAAAGGTGTCGTATCAGATAGTCATCAATAAATATGTTTGTTTGAAAGAAGACAAGTGAGTAATTTTCCCTCTGTTTATCCAACAGGCCAAAAGAGGAGTCCAAGACACCGTGAGGAGCTCCTAGCCCTCTTAAAGCGATCGTACCTGTTCAGAATGGTTCTGTTTTTCAGAGCAGTCACCTTGACTGGCTGCTGCAAAGAATATCCCTGAAGGACTATACATTTTAATGACAGATCCTGCTCCTTCAAATTGGAATGGGCTAAACATGTATTTTCTAGAACACATACATGTTGCTGTTCAAGGACCGAAAGTTAAATGGAGATTTCTTTTTTTGTAAGGACAGTTTTCTGTATGCTTAGTTAGGCCCATTTTGTTCTGAATCTTTTTATCCTATGAAAACCACTTCTCCTTACTCAAACAATTATGTAGTCTATATTAAAGGCCTAGCACAAAGTATTATGCTTTTTATGTCTTTTGGATTTAATTTATCATGGCTATGTTTGCAACTCTTGTACCCCCACCCGTGTATTTTGTCCCGTGCCTTTGGAAACGTAGTTGAAGCATGACATTTAGATCCACTTCTCAAAGATGTATTCATTCTGTATTACCCAGATGAGCAATATAGAATACTGCTCCTACAGTACAGGATGCGATAAGACTTCCTTCCATCCATGTATTGTAGTTTAGTACCAAACAATGATCTCTGAAAATACCAATGAATGTTTAGGACCCATGTCATCTCAGCATTTCAATGAAAACAGCGTTCCTAGATTTTTTTTTTACTTGAACGGGATGTTCAAAAGTATTTTGGTAATGCCACAATGCTTTAGTAAAGTTAGCCAAGCAAAAATTGACACATTCAGTGTTGTGTAGATACCTGATTTTTATTCTGCAAAAATGAATTCCCAGGAGTGCTTGTAAACTTCATACAAATATGAAGGACCACACAATCTATAAGACTACTTTTAGAAAACAATAAAAACAATAAGAATCTACTAGTCTTATTCATCTACAGCGATATACTACAATGTCATTTAATTGTTAATTCAAAAACATCTTCAGGTGCAGTTTGCTAGTTATCAGCATTGCTGTTGCTCATTTTACGTGGCAGAGAAGTTTTAGTTAACATACACTATATATACAAAAGTACAGTGCATTCGGAACGTATTCAGGCCCCTTCACTTTGTCCACATTGTTACATTACAGCCTTATTCTAAAATGGTTTAAGTAGTTTTCCTCAATCTACACACAATACCCCATAATGACAAAGCGAAAACTGTTTTTTAGAAATTTTTGCAAATGTATTTAAAGTAATAAATAAAAACGTAAATAAGGTATAAGTATTCAGACCCTGGCCAAAAGGCACCCAAAGGACTCTGACCAAGAAACAAGATTATCTGGTCTGATGAAACCAAGATTGAACTCTTTGGCCTGAATGCCAAGCGTCACGTCTGGAGGAAACCTGGCACCATCCCTACGGTGAACCATGGCGGTGGCAGCATCATGCTGTGGGGATGTTTTTCAGCGGCAGGGACTGGGAGACTAGTCAGGATTGAGGGAAAGATGGATGGAGCAAAGTACAGAGAGAGATCCTTGATGAAAACCTGCTCCAGAGCGCTCAGGACCTCAGACTGGGGTGAAGGTTCACCTTCCAACAGGACAACAACCCTAAGCACACAGCCAAGACAACGCAGGAGTGGCTTCGGGACAAGTCTCTGAATGTTCTTGAGTGGCCCAGCCAGAGCCCGGGCGTGATCCCAATCAAACATCTCTGGAGAGACCTGAGAATAGCTGTGCAGCTACACTCCCCATCCGATCTGCAGAGAAGAATGGGAGAAACTCCCCAAATACAGGTGTGCCAAGCTTGTAGCGTCATACTCAAGAAGACTCAAAGCTGTCTGAAAGGGTCTGAATACTTAAGTAAATGTCATATTTCAGTTTTGTAAAAATTCCAAACTGTTTTTGCCTTGTCATTAAGGGGTATTGTGTGTAGATTGAATTGCTTGTTCCCCCCCCCCCCCCCCCCCCCCTCAATCTATTTTAGAATAAGGCTGTAACGTAACTGTGGAAAAAAGTGAAGGGGTCTGAATACTTTCTGAATGCACTGGATGTGGACACCCCTTGAAATTAGTGGATTTGGCTTTCAGCCACACCCGTTGCTGACAGGTGTATAAAATTGTGCACACCGCCGTGCAATCTCCATAGACAAACATTGGCAGTAGAATGGCCTTACTGAAGAGCTCAGTGTTCTTTCAACGTGGTACCGTCAGAGAATGCCACCTTTCCAACAAGTCAGTTTGTCAAATGTCTTCCCTGCTAGAGCTGCCCCAGTCAACTGTAAGTGCTGTTATTGTGAAGTGGAAATGTCTGGGACAGTCGTTCCCTACCTTTTTCGGTTACTGTACCACCAACTGAATTTTGCTCTGCCCGGAGTACCCATGAAGTACCCCCTCATGTGCATTTTAACAGTAGGCCCATGGTCTCATGAGTCTTCTCAAGTACCCCCTGTGGATAATCCAAGTACCCCTAGGGGTCATAGTACTCCTGGTTGGGAACCACTGGTCTAGGAGCAACAATGGCTCAGCTGCGAAGTGGTAGGCCACACAAGCTCATAGAACGGGATCGCCGAGTGCTGAAGCGTGTAAAAATCGTCTGTCCTCGCTTGCAAAACTCACTACCGAGTTCCAAACTGCCTCTGGAAGCAACGTCAGCAGAAGAACTGTTCGTCGGGAGCTTAATGAAATGGGTTTCCATGGCCGAGCAGCTGCACACAAGCCTAAGATCACCATGCGCAATGCCAAGCTTCGGCTGGAGTGGTGTAAAGCTCGACACCATTGGACTCTAGAGCAATGAATCACGCTTCACCATCTGGCAGTCCGTCGGACAAATCTGGGTTCTGCGGATGCCAGGAGAACGCTACCTGCCTCAATGCATAGTGAACACTTAAAAGTTTGGTGGAGGAGGAATAATGGTCTGGGGCTGTTTTTCATGGTTCGGACTAGGCCCCTTAGTTCCAGTGAAGGGAAATCTTAATGCTACAGCATACAATGACATTCTAGACGATTCTGTGCATCCAACTTTGTGGCAACAGTTTGGGGAAGGCCCTTTCCTGTTTCAACATGACAGTGCCCCCCGTGCAAAAGCGAGGTCCATACAGAAATTGTCGAGATCGGTGTGGAAGAACTTGACTGGCCTGCACAGAGCCCTGAGCACAGAAAAGTGGTCTACAAGACAACTGACTCCAGCTAAAATTTGACAAGTTATCGGATATCCGATTAGCAATGTAGCATACACGTAACTTCCTCCATTCAACATACAGGAGTCATCTCTCCTGTGGTGTTAGAGTTCAAAGTTCACAATGGGTTGCTAGCAGTCAGTGCAGGTGGTGGATTAATCCCTATAGTTCAGGCATAGCTGGTTCAGACCCATTCACTCCTCTCTGTCGGTGAGTCAGGCTTCAGCAGTTCATGTTGCTCTGCTGTTTCTGGCTCTGGCAGTGGAGCTGGATTAGGCGACACTGATGACGTTTCTCCTGGAGTCTGAATGCACATCTGCAACAAAGGCCAAGGGGTGTGAATGATGATCAGCACACAGACACACCTCAGCTATAGTGAAACATGACCCGCACGTTAGTAATGATACCTGGAGTGTATTCATTAGTCAGATTCCATTGCAAAACGTTTTGCAACAGAAATCGTTTTACTCCAAACGCTGTTGAGTTCAATTTTGTTTTTAAACGGAAGTTGTAGTTCAGTCGTGTCTCTTCAAAAACAATAAGCGACTAGAAGAAGTTGGAAGGAACTATGTGGACTTCACTCCACTTTGGAGCATGGGAGAACTAATCATTTATAGATGTGCAGCTTGTGCCAAACACTTCAGACTATCGGATTGGAATGGCAACACGTGGAAACCATCAAATGAAAATGAATGGAATCCGACTAATGAATACACCCCTGATCAGCACAGTCAGTGAAACATTTAGCATTGCAGTTTGTAAGTGAAGGCAGGACTTTGTGACAATGACCGATGTGGATACGAACCAGGGTCATTCACACGCCTCAAGGCCGCATTAGCCCACACCAGAGACCCACACCTAGGCTTCAGCTCTATAGTTCTGGGAGCTATTACAAGTCTTCAGGTCTCAGGCAAGATAACTCATCATCATGCGTGGGTAGTTGACCTACCCTCCTGGCATTGACGATCTTCTTGTGTCTCCTGCACGTATAGAGGCGGAAGATGGTGGTGCAGGCAGAGAAACAGCGGCCTGAGAACCACTTCCACCACAGACAGAAGGATGAGAGGCACCCACAGAATAATAGCACTTCCCAAGGGAGGAACAAAGTTGAACAAGAACAAAGGTGTGAGTATGGGCTTGTAGTCGAATAGTGTAAAGCCTTTCACATGCTTCCCAGTCTAAACAGTTTGTGCATATTTTGTGACGTTTGTTCGTTTTGGTGTTCGCCAGGGTTTTCATTCGGCTCTTCGATCCCGGGCTGTGTCACGACCGGGAGACCCATGAGGCGGCGCACAATTGGCCCAGCGTCGTCCGGGTTAGGGGAAGGTTTGGCCGGCTGGGATGTCCTTGTCCCATTTCGCTCTAGCGACTCCTTGTGGGGGCCAGGCGCATTCACGCTGACTTCGGTCGCCAGATGTACAGTGTTTCCTCCAACACATTGGTGTGGCTGGCTTCCGGGATGAGCGAGCAGTGTGTCAAGAAGCAGTGCGGCTTTAGCGGGCTCGTGTTTCGGAGGACGCATGGCTCTCGACCTTCACCTCTCCCGAGTCCGTATGGGATTGCAGCAATGGGACAAGACTGTAACTACCAATTCGGGAGAAAAAGAGGTAAAAAGTAGGGGTGTGGATCAGAAAATCAGTCAGTATCTGGTGTTACCACCATTTAGCTCATACGGTGCGACACATCTCCTTCGTATAGAGTTGATCAGGCTGTTGATTGTGGAATGTTGTCCCACTCTTCAATGACTGTGCGAAGTTAATGGATATTGGTAGGAACTGGAACACGCTGTCGTACACGTAGATCCAGAGCATCCCAAACATGCTCAATGGGTGACATGTCTGGTGAGTATGCAGGCTATGGAAGAACTTGGACATTTTCAGCTTCCAGGAATTGTGTACAAATCCTTGCAACATGGGGCCGTGCATTATCATGCTGAATCATGAGGTGATGGTGGCGGATGAATAGCACGACAATGGGCCTCAGGATCTCATCACGGTATCTCTGTGCATTCAAATTGCCATTGATAAAATGCAATTGTGTTCGTTGTCCGTAGCTTATGCCTGCCCATACCATAACCCCACCGCCACCATGGGGCACTCTGTTCACAACGTTGACATCAGCAAACCGCTCACCCACACTACGCCATACACGTAGTCTGCGGTTGTGGGGCCGGTTGGACTTACTGCCAAACTCTCTAAAACGACGTTGAAAGCAACAGCTCTCTGGCAACAGCTCTGGTGGACAAGCGTTTATATTTCTGTTCAGTGTAGGTAGCTACACATGGTGCCGTTTAGCACATTTTGATTTGTTTAACACTTTGTTTGGTTACTACATGAATCCATATGTGTTATTTAATAGTTTTGATGTCTTCACTATTATTCTACAATGTAGAAAATAGTAAAGATAAAGAAAAACCCTTGAATGAGTAGGTGTGTCCAAACTTTTGACTGGTAGTGTATGTGAGAATGTTATTCACTGACTACAGCTCAGCGTTTAACACCATAGTGCCCACAAAGCTCATCACTAAGCTAAGGACCCTGGGACTAAACACCTCCCTCTGCAACTGGATTCTGGACTTCCTGACGGGCCGCCCCCCAGGTGTTAAGGGTAGGCAACAACACATCTGCCACGCTGATCCTCAACACGGGGGCCCCTCAGGGGTGCGTGCTTAGTCCCCTCCTGTACTCCCTGTTCACCCACGACTGCGTGGCCAAGCACGACTCCAACACCATCATTAAGTTTGCTGACTACACAACAGTGGTAGGCCTGATCACAGACAACGATGAGACAGCATATAGGGAGGAGGTCAGAGACCTGGCAGTGTGGTGCCAGGACAACAACCTCTCCCTCAACGTGAGCAAGACAAAGGAGATGATCGTGGACTACAGGAAAGGAGGGCCGAACACGCCCCCATTCCCATCGATGGGGCTGTAGTGGAGCGGGTCGAGAGTTTCAAGTTCCTTGGTGTCCAAATCACCAACAAACTATCATGGTCCAAACACACCAAGAAAGTCAATAAGAGGGCACGACAATGCCTTTTCCCCCTCAGGAGACTGAAAAGATTTGGCATTGGTCCCCAGATCCTCAAAAAGTTATACTGTTGCACCATCGAGAGTATCCTGACCGGTTGCATCACCGCCTGGTATGGCAACTGCTCGGCATCCGACCGTAAGGTGCTACAGAGGGTAGTGCGTACAGCCCAGTACATCACTGGGCCAAGCTTCCTGCCATCAAGGACCTATATACTAGGCGGTGTCAGAGCCAGTTTTTTGTATTTTTTTGTATTTTTCGTACATATTTCCCTATCACACTTTTCATCCTTCTACTAAATATACTTTCCTGCAACCAGCCTCACTCAATGTGGAACGGATTCTATTATTTACTCACCTTTATCTAGAATCTCCAGTTGAAAGTAGCTAGCCATTTGCCATTAGCCACCGTTAGCGGTTTTCACCCAGAACATCAGATTTTCTGCAGGAATAACTGAATCACTGGACCCTAACACCGGATTGCAACTAGCTAGCCGCAACCAAATGGATGTTGCTGTAGGCTAATCACCACTGCCCCCGAAGCAAGCACCAGTTAGCCTTGAGCCAGGCCCATATCCCGGCTATCTACCTCTTTGTCTACCGGACGGGAGTAGCCAGCTAACTAGCTACTTGCTATTAGACACCGTTAGCGGTTTTTCACCATTGTCCGTGGCCTGCACTACCTACCAGCCAGCTCTAGCCTGGACTATTATCGGCCAGTCTGCACAGCGGGTTATCGACCCAGAACATATCGGATTTTCTGCCGGAATCACTAAATCACTGGACCTTTAACACCTGATCAACGCAACTAGCTAGCTGCAACCAAATGAATGTTGTTGTTGGCTAATCAGCCTTGAGCTAGCCTCGAGTCAGGCACATCTCCCGGCTATCTACCTCTCTGTCAACCGGACGGGACCTCCTAGAGTCGACACGGAGCCCCGCCGATCCATCACGACTGGTCTGCCGACATGATCGTCTATGGTTTCAACAAGCTTCCCGTTGCGACGACCACGAAGATCCATCTGCTAGCCCCGGCCCGCTAGCACACGCAAACAACAGCCGTGCTTCCTGCTCGCTGTGCTTTAGCACCAATTTGAACTGCTCTCGGACTCACAAATATTGCTGTTCACTGGACCTTATGATCACTCAGCTGGTTCCACCCCCCATACACGCCGAGACCGGCTCAATCGGTGCCTCCAGTGATGCTATCTCTTTCATTGTTACCCAACGCTTAGGTTTACCTCCACTGTACTCATATCCTTCCATATCCTTGTCTGTACATAATGCCCTGAATCTATTCTACAACGCCCGGAAATCTGCCCCCTTTATTCTCTGTACCCAACGCACTAGAAGACCAGTTCTTAAAGCCTTTAGCCGTATCCTTATTCTAGTCCTCCTCTGTTCCTCTGGTGATGTAGAGGCTAACCCAGGCCCTGCAGCCCCCAGTATCACTGCTACTCCCCAGGAGTTATCATTTGTTGACTTCTGTAACCGTAAAAGCCTTGGTTTTCTGCAGGTTAACATCAGAAGCCTCCTTCCTAAGTTTGAGTTATTCACTGCGTTAGCACACTCCACCAACCCTGATGTTCTAGCAGTGTCTGAATCCTGGCTTAGGAAGGCCACCAAAAATTCAGACATTTCCATCCCCAACTACAACATTTTCCGTCTAGATAGAACTGCCAAAGGGGATGGAGTTGCAATCTACTGTAGTGATAGCCTGCAGAGCTCTTTCATACTATCCAGGTCTGTGCCCAAACAGTTTGAGCTCCTACTTCTAAAAATCCACCTTTCCAGAAATAAGTCTCTCACTGTTGCCGCTTGCTACAGACCCCCCTCAGCCCCCAGCTGTGCCCTGGACACCATATGTGAATTGATTGCCCCCCATCTATCCACATTTTACATTTACATTTTAGTCATTTAGCAGACGCTCTTATCCAGAGCGACTTACAGGAGCAATTAGGGTTAAGTGCCTTGCTCAAGGGCACATTTACGTCATTTAGCAGACGCTCTTATCCAGAGCGACTTACAAATTGGTGCATTCACCCTATAGCCAATGGGATAAGCACTTTACAATTATTAATTAATTTATTTATATATTTATTTTTTTTGGTGGGGGGGGGGGGGGGGGTAGAAGGATTACTTTATCCTATCCCAGGTGTTCCTTAAAGAGGTGGGGTTTCAAATGTCTCCGGAAGGTGGTGAGTGACTCCGCTGTCCTGGCGTCGTGAGGGAGCTTGTTCCACCATTGGGGTGCCAGAGCAGCGAACAGTTTTGACTGGGCTGAGCGGGAACTATGCTTCCGCAGAGGAAGGGGAGCCAGCAGGCCAGAGGTGGATGAACGCAATGCCCTCGTTTGGGTGTAGGGACTGATCAGAGCCTGAAGGTACGGAGGTGCCGTTCCCCTCACTGCTCCATAGGCAAGCACCATGGTCTTGTAACGGATGCGAGCTTCAACTGGAAGCCAGTGGAGTGTGCGGAGGAGGGGGGGTGACGTGAGAGAACTTGGGAAGGTTGAACACCAGACGGGCTGCGGCATTCTGGATGAGTTGTAGGGGTTTAATGGCACAGGCAGGGAGCCCAGCCAACAGCGAGTTGCAGTAATCCAGACGGGAGATGACAAGTGCCTGGATTAGGACCTGTGCCGCTTCCTGTGTAAGGCAGGGTCGTACTCTCCGAATGTTGTAGAGCATGAACCTGCAGGATCGGGTCACCGCCTTGATGTTAGCGGAGAACGACAGGGTGTTGTCCAGGGTCACGCCAAGGCTCTTCGCACTCTGGGAGGAGGACACAACGGAGTTGTCAACCGTGATGGCGAGATCATGGAACGGGCAGTCCTTCCCCGGGAGGAAGAGCAGCTCCGTCTTGCCAGGGTTCAGCTTGAGGTGGTGATCCGTCATCCATACTGATATGTCGGCCAGACATGCAGAGATGCGATTCGCCACCTGGTTATCAGAAGGGGGAAAGGAGAAGATTAGTTGTGTATCGTCAGCGTAGCAATGATAGGAGAGGCCATGTGAGGATATGACAGAGCCAAGTGACTTGGTGTATAGGGAGAAAAGGAGAGGGCCTAGAACTGAGCCCTGGGGGACACCAGTGGTGAGAGCACGTGGTGCTGAGACAGC